TGTAAAATGTAACAAAATAGGATTAAGTTAAAAGTCCTTATAAAATACTATTAAATATCTTTTGATAACATGAGGTATAATGACTTCATAATATGCCAGGTTGCAGATGTACCGTAATTTATTTAATAATTCCCAATCATTAGATTTTAGATTATTGTCAGTTTAATTTCAATAAATGAAGCTGTGCTGAACATTATTTTCATACATAAGCTATGTTTACATCACTGATTATTTTCTCAAAAAATATACATTTATGTAAAATTATTAGATCAAAAAGTATAAACATTCTTAATATTTGAATGCCAAATTGTTTCATAGAAAAATGTGTATATATGTTTGCTAGGAAAAGAAATTCTTAGCTTCTGTGCAGTATGAGAGGTAAAAAGTGAGTCTCTAGATGTTTGCATAGATAATAACTCCACTTGTATAATTTGTTTCATGCTCGCTAAAGCCATTTGCTGTGTGTAAATTTATGTCCATATTCTGGCCCACTTAGGAATACGGCTAGCAGTACTTACCCCCAGATAATAACTTTTTCCAGGAATGCTTAGAACTTCTTTTTCCTCTTAATATCCATGTTGTAGCATGCAAGACAGACCATTCATATTTGCCTTGGCAATTGTGGAAATATTTAGTTGGATTAGAGTACATTGGAAGGGTCTGGCATTCCCTCAGTGTCTTTTACTGAAATCTTTTGTTCACAGAAAATATCTCACCCAGTAATTAATACTGCAGTAGAAAAGACTGTCCCACCTGCCAACCATCACTATGAGGGATATATTCTCCCAAAGAGTAACTTTAGACATGACTGAAACATGTTCCCTGTTTCAAGTTTTGCCTTGAACACTAGACTTTCTTAATGTGTAATAGCCAGCAGTTCATACTGTTATCTCTGGTTCAAATCCAGCACAGTCGGGTTCACTGTGGCTTTTCTCCTTTGCTTGTGTGTAACATCTTTCTCAGGGAACAACCAGGCGCTAGTCACCTTGGTGTCTGAAAGTTGCTTTCACCAGGTATAGAGTCATAAGCTGACAGTTTTAGCCCCTAGGTGCAGCTAAAGGTGTGCTCCACTGTCTTCTCACCTGTCCTGGTCTCCCACGGGAGAGTTCTGTTGTCCCTGCCTTGTTCCACTATACATCCTATGGCTTCTTCCCTCTGGCCCCTGAGGTATTTTCTTTGTCATGGATTTTGAGCAGTCTGAATTTTGTGCTCACTGATGATTTTCTCCATGTCTCCTGTTTTGGGGATTTGTTCAACTTCTTGGATCTGTAGGCTTGTTGTTTCGATCAGATGTGGACATTTTTCACTTGTTTTTTCTTCTCTTAATTTCTCAAGTCCTCACCTCTTCTCCCTGGGGGACTCTTAATTACCTGTGTTAGGCCATTCAGATTGTTCCCAAGTCACTGATGCTCTTTCAGTAGTTTAGATTGTTTTCTCTCTTTTTTCCATTTTGCACTTTCTATTGCTGTGTCTTCAATTCACTAGTCATTTTTCCTGCCATATCTCACCACCCATTAATTCCATCTTGTATATTTTTCATTTCAGAGATTATCGTTTTCATCTCTGGAAGTTTGATTTGGATCTTATTATTTCTATGTCTCTACTTGAAAATTTTGAAAATAGTTATGACAACTGATGTTTTTATCTGCTGATTCTAACATCTCTGTTATTCTGAGGTCAGTGTTTATTGGTTGATTATTCTTATTATTCTAAAGTTCTCTGTGCAGCCTTCTCCTCCTCACCCACTGCTCTCATCTGCAAACCCATAGCTGTGATGTCCATGGATTCTCGGTCTCTTCAGCGCAGGGAGCTGACTGGCCTCAGCCTGGAAACTGTCAAGTAGTGGGCAGGGACATGTGTAGGGATCACCTGGTTTGTTTTCTGCCTCTCCGGGATCACTGTCCTGTGTTACCTGATATCCAGGGTCTCAAAAACCATCATTTTATGTTTCGTCTGGGCTGTTTTTTCTTTCATTATTCTAGGGAAGAGACTCAATCCAATCCCTCTTACTCCATCTTTGCCAGAGTCACAAGTCTCAGGTCCTGTTCATCTTCTGCTTCCTCTGTGTGGAAAGCTCTTCTTCAGATGTGCATGTGGTTAGCTGCCTCATCGCCTCTTTCTGTGCAGTACTGTTGTTTTGTTTCTTTATTTCAATTGCTTAAGGGGGGATAAATAGTTTGGTGTAGGCTTTAAGAGTGTCGACCACCCCCACTTGGGCACATTATACCCAACAGGTGATTTTTCATCCCTTCACCCCCTTCCCTCCCTCCTCCTTTGTGTAGTAGTTTTTTGTGGGATTTTTGTTTTGTTTTGTTTTTATTGGATGCAAGATGTTATGAATATTCTGTGGTTTTCTCTCTGGACTGTGTTGTCTTGCTTTATAGGAGTGGGAGTTTTATTTTAACTGCCATTTACATGATCTGTGGATCAGCTTAATCGTTCTGAGACTTGTTTTTAAGCTTTGACAGGACAGGTGTGTGATCATTTTACTTCAGGCCTCCTGTAGCCCTGCTGTTTATGGCATAAGTCTTCTTGGCTCTCCACAGAACACTCCAGCAACTCAGCAGTGGAGGACTCACTCTGCCTGGTAAAAGTCAAGTGGCTTCCAGGCCCATATTATTAGTCAGGATTGTTAGTTTACATTGATTCTCAGTGATTCTTTGTGCGGCTTCATGGAGTCAAGCCCTGCTCACGTACAGCTCCATGTGTGGACAGACTTGAGGTGACCCTGGTAAATTTCTTTGCACAGATCTCTTCTCTGCTGTACTCTGGCCTGAAATTGAGGCCTCTTCTGCCTCCCAAAACACTGGTCTGTCTCCTCAGTTCAGTGAGACTATTGCCTGCTCTCTGTGTGCATTCCAGAAAGTTCTCCCACTCCGAAAGCAAGAGCGATCTAGGGACCACCCTTCTCTCAGCAATCTCAGCCCTGCACCACCTGTCTAAAGACAATTGCTTCCTCTGATTCTTCTACGTTTTCAGCCATGGGCAAGTCCGATACCCAAAACTCCATCATGGCCAGAGGCAGATGGTTCTGGAGGGATTGTCTAGGTAGTATCAGTTCTCTGCTCTGAGCTGCTTGCTGGATCCTCATCCCAATACTTACAGCAGCCGGTAGGGCAACATGCCCGGGTTCCAGGTATCTCCCCTTCCTCGCAGCCCTTGAACTCCAGGCAGGCTGTGCTGAGCTGCTTGTTTCTGGGGCTTCCTGTGGGCCTCCACCTAGTCCTTTGTCTTGTTTCCTTTGCGAACTCAACTCTCAGTGGCCGTGTAGCTGTGTGGCCCAGTATCCTCTCCTCTCCTAACTCAGCTTCTTCCCTCAGTGGCCATGGTAACCACATGCCCCAGTATTTTCTCCTCTTACACCTCAGCTTCTTCCCTTGGTGACCATGGTAGTGATGTGTCCCAGTACCCTCTCCTCTCATGCCTTAGCTTCTTCCCTCAGTGGCCATGGTAACCCCATGCTGTCTCCTCTTAAGTCTCAGTTTCTTCCCTCAGTGGCTGTGGTAGCCATGTGGCTCAGTACTTTCTCTCACACTGCAGTTTCTTCCCTCGGTGGCTATGGTAGTGACATGGCCCAGTACCCTCTCCTCTCATAATTTAGCTTCTTCCCTCAGTGGCTGAGATAGCTGTGTGTCCCAGTGTCCTCTCCTCTTACACCTCAGCTTCTTCCATCAGTGGCTGTGACAGCCACATGGCCCAGTACCCTCTCCTCTCACACCTCTGCTTCTTTCCTTGGTGGATGTGGTAGCCATGTAGCCCAGTACCCTCTCTCATGCCTCAGCTTCTTCTCTTGGTGGCCATGGTAGCCACGTGGCCCAGTACCCTCCTCTAACACCTCGGCTTCTTCCTTCAGTGGCTGTGGTAGCTACGTGGCCCAGTACCTTCTCTCACACCTCAGCTTCTCCCCTCAGTGGCTGTGGTAGCCGCGTGGCCCAGTGCCCTATCCTCTTATGTCTCAGCTTCTTCCCTTATTGACTGTGGCGGCCATGTGGCCCAGTACCCTCTTCTTTCATGCCTCAGCTTCCCTTCCGTGGCTGTGGTAGCCACACGGTCCAGTACTTTCTCCTCTCACACCTCAGCTTCTTCCCTCAGTGGCCATGGTAGCCATGTGGCCCAGTACACACATCTCAGATATGTTCATTTAAATGAAATAGCCTAACTCAGGCAAAGTGGGAATGTCCTGGCTCTCCGGATTTCAGGAGAGGTCTGCATGACAAACCATGACTAGGAGGGACAAGGGTCATAATGTGCAGGGGTCCCCTGTGCTGCTCAAGGAGCTGACTCTGCACCGCTCTTCCCAGTTTCCCTGTTCAGGGAGGTCCTAGTGGGAGCTTAAGATAATCCACGTTGGGAGTTGTTGCCAGCAGGAAGTTAGCAAACATTGCAGATCAGGGTTTCCCCTGGCCCAGCCAGTGGTTAAACACAGCACTGAATGTGAGGTCACTCCAGGCAGGGCTCAGAGGCCCCCAGAGCTCTGTTAGGATCTGGAGCCGGCCTCTGGAGGTTGACTTCTCTCCCTGAAGACTGGCTTTCTCTTCTTGGTGAGAGAGTCATCCCATGAGACCTCTCAAGTTTTACATGCTATTGCATACTCGGACATCATGGAGCAACTTGTTTTCTCTGTTGCAGTTGAGAGTACTGGGGAAGATGCCTGCTCAGACACCCAGCTTTGGGCAGTTAGTTCAGAGGTGGGAGATGGGGAGGATCATGGTGAAGTTGGTCACACAAGAACTGGCACATCCCAATGTAGCCATGGTAGTAGGGACCATGTTCCAGAGAAGAGAAAGGGACATTTCAGGACAGACAGCTCTAGGGTGTTTACTATTCTTGTTAAAATACAAAACTCAACTACATTGGATACAAAGTAGTTCCAAAATAGCATTAGGTCTATGGAGTTACTTACATAATTGAAAAATCAAAGTTTTTATAATATACATCTATTTTACAATGTGTTAATTTAAGAACTACAATAAACTTATTAAGATGTGCTTTTTGTTTAGGATTTGAACTACAGTTCCGGTTAGGCCCGACTTTACAGGGAAAAGCAGTCACTGTGTATACAAATTACCCATTTCCTGGAGAAACATTTAATCGAGAAAAATTCCGTTCTCTGGATTGGGAAAATCCAACAGAAAGAGAGGATGATTCTGATAAATACTGTAAACTTCATCTGCTGCAATCTGGTTCATTTCAGTATTATTTCCTTCAAGGGTAAGTCAAGTGTTCCGTATGTGGAAAAAAAGTTCAGTTATTCTATAACCTGAAATTACCTAATGTAAAAAGTTATCGCATGAACCATGCAGTACAGTTTTTCCAGGGCTTTCCTGAGACGCAGATAGAATGTGGTTCTTCAGTTTATAGGAGGCAATTGCATGGCCTATGCAGATTCAAAGCATTATGTAAATTTATTTTAAGTACCAGCTTAAATAGTCTTTTTGTGCAACCCGATAATAGGATGCTGTTTATTTGAGTGTCCTTGTTATTACTGATAGACTTTAGGTTGCTTATTTTTCATTGAGCCAACAGTACTGGATATTATGTATATTGTATTATGTAATGATGTAGAGAGTGAGGAAGGGTAAAAGTGGCTTTTCCATTAAGTTCTGTTGCAACTTTTTAAATGATTTTATGTGCTTAAAAATATTTTTTTAATGAGATAGTTAACCTTCTGGTTAGAGTCAGACTATATCGGATGAGGTTTTTTTTCATATCATTAACCAAAAGCTTTTTGTTTTGTTTTTTCCCTTAGAAATGAGAAAAACGGGGGAGGCTACATAGTGGTGGACCCTGTCCTGCGTGTCGGCGCTGACAGTCACGTGCTGCCCTTGGACTGCGTCACTCTCCAGACGTTCTTAGCCAAGTGCTTGGGGCCCTTTGATGAGTGGGAGAGCAGACTCAGGGTTGCAAAAGAAACAGGTGGTGTCTGTGTGCTTTCTCTTATTTTTCTTCTTTTAAAAAATAAGTGTAAGCCGGGCACGGTGGCTCACGCCTGTCATCCCAGTACTTTGGGAGGCTGAGGTGAAAGGATTGCCTGAACCCACGTGTTCGAAACCAGCCTGGACAACTTGGCGAGACCTTGTCTCTACAATAAATTTTAAAAAAACAAAAATTATCCAGGCCTGGTGGTACACAGCTGTAGTTCCAGCTACTTTGAAGGCTGTGAGTGTGCCACTGAACTCCAGCCTGGGTGCCAGAGTAAGACTCTGACTCAAAAAAAAAAAAAAAAAAAGTATAATTATTCTCTGTGGTGCAGATTTTAAAAGTTTTGCTTCCACTTTTAATTTTGTATCTTAATATAGTAATGTAAATAGGTAGAACTATGTGGAATTTTTGATACTTAACCATTTTTATCTACAAAAATGGCAAATTATGTGGTTTATTTTAAGATATAAAGGAACTCTATGACAAACTGAGATGATTATCATTCCTAAGCCTTTAACATATAAAAATTAGAAGCAAACTATCGAAATGTGTAAGAAAAGGTATAATCATGATATATATTTTAATCCAACAAACATTGGTTAACCATATTCTGTGTAGAAGGCATTTGCTGCCATACATACCAAGAGTAATATGAGATGAAAGTTGTATTTTACTCTTAAGTAAAGGGTAATAATAATTTTGTACTTTCAAATTGAATATTATATGAAGAAAAACCTTTGGGATGTTACAAGTAGGAAAAAGATACTTGCTTATATGCTTGCAAGGGCTACATTTTCTGCACATAAATATACCCGTTCAGCAAATACAAGTTGAGCCCCTCATCACAACTAGGACCTTCTGTGATTTTTTTCAAATATATCATCACACCATCCCTGTCTTGTATATGAGGACCCTGATATCCTGAAAGATTGAAGCAGACTTGATCAAGTCTCCTGTGTATGACTAGGATTTGAATCCATGTTTAAATTTACGTATTTTGAGACTGATACTGCTGGTTTTTTCTTACAGTGGTCTTTATTCTTTGCCTTGCAGGTTACAACATGATTCATTTTACCCCATTGCAGACTCTTGGACTGTCTAGGTCATGCTACTCCCTTGCAGATCAACTAGAATTGAATCCTGACTTTTCAAGGCCTAACAGAAAGTATGCCTGGAATGATGTTGGACAGCTAGTGGAAAAGTTGAAAAAGGAGTGGAATATTCTTTGCATTACTGATGTTGTCTACAATCATACTGGTATGCACTTCATGCATTAATTTTGATGAGGATATTCAGATTATTTCATTTCTTGGTGTTCTATTTAACGTAAATTTTAAAAACAAATGATCAGATATCTTTTAATTTAAGAATAACTTCATATAGTATCATTTTTTTTCTTTTAAAGAAAACAGTGTTAATTTAAGCTGTAGTCAGTATATAAGTATTTTGCGTGTGATACTTATCATAACAGAAGCGTGGTCATAGAGGGGACATCATGATCACATATTTCAGCTTCGAGTACAATTGTCCCCTCTTCTCCATGGTTCACTGAGGTTTCAGTTGCTGGCAATCAAGCACATTCTAAAAATATTAACTGGAAAACTTCAGAAATAAACAGTTTATAAGTTTTTAATTTCAGGCTGCCTGGGTGGCATGATGAGTTCTCACTCTGTTCTGCTCTGTCTCACTCGGCCTATAAATCATGCTTTGGTCTTTTGGGGTTTTTTGAGTCGGAGTCTCACTCTGTTTCCCAGGCTGGAATGCTCACGGCTACCACAGCCTCAACCTGCAGGCTCAGGTGATCTTTCTGCCTCAGCTTTCCAAGTAGCTGGAACTATAAGCATGCACCACCATGCCCATCTAATTTGTTTATTTATTGTAGAGATGAGGTCTTGCCATGTTGCCCATGCTGGTCTTGAACCTGTAGGCTCAGGCAGTCCTCTCACCTCTGCCTCCCATAATGCTAGGATTGCAGGTGTGAGCCACCACACCTGACTGTAAATCATGGTTTGTCCAGCATCAGGCTGCATTCACTACTCACCCAGTCACCGAATGGCCGGCTTCAGCTGTCCCCTGAGGGTCTTAGAATGCTCCTTCATGCATAAGGGGGATGACTATGTCAGTACTGTCCTGACTCATAAATGAGTCCTGTAGCAGGAACTCTGGCACTATCACATATATGAAAAGAACCAAATGACTTCTGTTATTTAGAGAGAAAATTGTTGGTAAGCTCTCTGAAGTTAAGTCTGGAAATTATATCTTTTACATGTTAAGAGAGCTTATTAGAGGCCAGGTGCAATGACTCGTGTGTAACCCAACACTTTGGGAGGCTGAGGCAGGAGGATCCCTTGAGCCCAGGTGTTTAAGACCAACTTAGAGACCCTGTCTCTACCCAAAAAAAAGCCAAGCATGGTGGCACATGCCTTTAATCTCTGCTAGTCAGGAGGCTGAGGTGGGAGGATGGCCTGAGCCTAGGAGTTCAAGGCTGCAGGAGCCATAGTTTGCACCACTATAGTCTAGCCGGGCAACACAGCGAGTCCCTGACTCTACTAAAAAAAAAAAATTATTGTTAAGAGTAAAGTTAGCCTGTTTGGTTCCCAAAATTCCTCAGCAATACACAATTCCCAACTGGTGGTCCCTGGAAGCGATTCCTCCCCTCATCTGCTAGAGCAGCTGGACCTGGCTTGGCCTGATCCCACAAATAATATGTTCTGTGTGTGCCACATGTAGAAAGGTTTAGAAACCACTGATTTGCATATGGAAAGAGCAGGAATTCTAGGTGGCATAGACATTTAAGAGAAACCACTATGGAAGGTGGTGTGGCCGTGATCCGTGCTGGGGTTCTGTCCCCGCTGGGCTGTTGTCCCAGTTGGATTGCTGCTATGGAACTCAGCGCCGAATACCTGCGGGAGAAACTGCAGCAGGACCTGGAGGCGGAGCACGTGGAGATGGAGGACACGACCCTCTGTAGCAGCGCATCCAGCTTCCAAGTCCTGGTGGTGTCGACCAAGTTCGAGGGGAAGCCACTACTTCAGAGATGCCGGCTGGTGAACGCTTCCCTAGCTGAAGAACTCCTGCACATCCATGCCTTTGAACAGAAAACCCTGACCCCAGAGCAGCGGGCCCGTGAGTGGCAGAAATGAGGGTCCAGGACCTGCACAGCCATTAAGTTATAAGTCAGAACCAAAAAAAGAAAAAAAGAGAGAGAGAAACCACTACTGTTTCACAAAGTTACCATAGGAACTATGAAGCTCTGGTGTAGATAAACACCGATAAATTTTATTGTTATACTATTGTAAATATTATTGTTCCCAATAATAACGGCAGACAATGTCTGGTAAAGAAATAGGCACATTCTGAAATTTGGTGTTTCTGCATACACATGGAAACCAAGCATCAAAGTCTACAGTGACAACTTCATGATATCCAAAAACATTCTTCACTTGAAAATTTGACAGTATTGATAATTATTTTGTCATGTGTAATATTATTGACATCAAATATATCAAACCACATAATGGCACATTCGTCTCAGCAGCAGAGCAATGTGGTTAAGATTGCAGATTCTGAAGAGACTTGCCCCACTTCCTGACTGTGGGACTTTGGCGGAGTTGCCTATCTCTCTGTGCTCCAGTCCTTTGTCCATTAAAGGAGCACAATGGTATGTCCTAGTTGGTATGGTAGGAAATGAGAAAAAATGTGTGCCTATCACTGCTTAGAACAATTCCTGGTGTGTCGTTATATTCAGTTATTGTGATCCGTTTTTATTTCTTGTACACTAACCACCCATGCTCCTCAGTCTGAATTCAGTGGGCATTAGTCCATTTTAAAGATCAGAGTGTGTTTGTAACTTTTGTTTATTTAAAAATTAAATGATCTGTAATGTCATCAATATTTGGAATACTCTTCTGATTCTGAACTTACTGATGAATAATAAGATACATTTCTATTAGCAGTTTCTCAGCCTTGCTCTTATCAGTCTTATCAAAACACCATACTTTATTAATCCTTTAAGGGGTTGCCTGTGAGAGAGCTGATTTTTGTTCCATTAGATTTCCTAGAAAGAATTAAAGATTGTTTTTAAAAAGTGTAGTGAAGTGGACAGTAGGATACTAACACCAGATAAAAGTTTTTTATGTAGCAATATTGTTATAAAATATTACTGTCTAATGGAGAAGGAAATGAGTGGTGGAGGCTGATATTTTACTTCACCTTTAAGCTTTATGTAGACACAGTTCCAAGTTAATTGTGAGATATTCCCTTGTGTTTCTTTGTTCTTGCAGCTGCAAACAGTAGATGGCTCCAGGAACACCCAGAATGTGCATATAATCTTGTGAACTCTCCACACCTGAAGCCTGCTTGGGTCTTAGACAGAGCCTTTTGGCATTTCTCCTGTGACGTTGCAGAAGGAAAATACAGAGAAAAAGGAGTACCTGCCTTGATTGAAAATGATCAGCACATGAATGTCAGTATGTACAGAGGCGTACACCTGAAATAGCGTAGCCACTTCCTAAAGTACCAATTAAATATGTGATTGAAAACTATTTAGAATCTGCATTGTAATAGATGAGCAGTATTTGGTGAAAAGGTTTTAAATATATATGTATATATTTTTAACTTTGAAATTTTTCAGTGCATCCGAAAAATAATTTGGGAGGAGATTTTTCCAAGGATTCAACTCTGGGAATTTTTTCAAGTAGACGTTTACAAAGCAGTTGAGCACTTTAGAGGACTTCTTACACAAGGTAAAGGATACACACTGGAATCTTCCTATCAATTTTAAGGAATTTAATATTTTAGAGGGGTAACTCTTCTTTTCTCTTAGTTAACATCATTATTAGGTATATGATATTTGTATTACTTTTACACTATAACACTGTGATTCTGTAAGCTATCTGAGAGTTGCCAGAGACATCTAAAGGGCACATAATAATGATACATAATCCAAGAATTTCTCTCGGGGACTGTATCTCACTGTGGGTTCTTTAGCAGAATGCTGAAAATAGAGTGGAGCTTGGCGTGCGTTTGTGAAGTGAATGAATGGGAGGGTAGGCAGAACTGGTCACTTCTGCTGAGAAAGGTTCAATACCGATTCTGAAGCTGAGAGATGGGTAGTCTTCTGCTGTCCCTGATTAGAACCATCATTGATGCAGAGGGGCTGCTAGCTGACGTTGCCCACCCTTAAGGCCACCTAACAGTGCTCTCGCAAGACTGAAACCAGATAGTAGCTGGTAACAAAAGGTAAAGAAATGAATCTCCAGCTAAGAACATGACTACTCAAGAGGTTAATTTGCCCCCAACAATGCAGGATAAAAAAAAGACAGGCTAACAGATAAGTATGTTTAGGAGACAAATTAGAAAGGAAGGATTATATAGCAGCTGGCATAAAAAAGAGTGAGATCGTGTCCTGTGCAGCAACGTGGATGGAGTTGGAGATCATCATCCTAAGTGAACTGACTCAGAAACAGAGAACCAAACACATGTTCTCACTCATATGTTTGAACTAAATGGTCACAAAGATGGAAATAATAGACACTGGAGACACCAATAAGGGGGGAGTGGGAGAGGGACTGGGGTTCAGAATCTACCTACAGGGCACAATGTTCACCATCTGGGGAATGGGCCACCTCAGACCCAACCCCACCACTACACAGTATGTCTGTGTAATGCATACACATGTGAACCCCTGAATCTAAAATAAAAACAAATTAAAGAAAGGAGTGACAAAAATAAGAATCTGCCTGTGGTTAGTGCAGAACAACATAGCAGTGAGAATTTTGAGTGGCTCTTAAGGTAAAGAACTTTTTTCTCTTCCAGAAGACAGAACTAACTCACACATCAACTTCTGGAATTATGTAACACCTTAACACAGGAAAGTTTAGTACTAACTTTACTTCATGTTTCATTTTATTAAAGGACCTTTGTCTTCCTTCTGATATTTATAAACTAAATTGTTTATATGAAATAATGTGTGAAGCCGGGCTCGGTGGCTCAGCCTGTAATCCTGCGCCTTTGGGAGGCTGAGGTGAGTGGATTGCCTGAGCCCGCAGGTTCGAGACCCGCCTGGGCAGCGAGACCTCATCTCTACAATAAATCAAAAAATCAGCCGGGCGTGGTAGCGCATGCCTGTAATTCCAGCTACTCGGAAGGCTGAGGCGGAAGGATCGCCGGCGCCCAGCACGTCGAGGCTGCGGTGGCTGGGAACAGCCACTGCACTCCAGTCTGGGCGACAGAGTGAGACTCCAACTCAAAAAAAAATAAAAAAAAAGAAATAATGTGTGTTAGCTGTAAAGAGAAAAAAAAGTTCAAATATATAATAAAACAATATATGACTTACTTTCCCCCAAATCCCACTTCTTAGAGGGAACTACTTATTCCTAATTTCTTGTGTTTTTTTTCAAACTCTTTTTGAAAGAAATTCCAATTTTATATATGGTTTTATGTAATTCTATATAAGGCATAGACATAAGTTTTGTATTCATTTTGTACACATGGAAGTAAGACTAGAACATAGATTGCTTAACAACATGTTCTTTTAATTGACAATATGGCTTTTTTATAGCTAATTATTTATTCTAACCCCTAATAGCTATGCATTGTTTTAAAGCACTTGAATTTAACTAGCCTTTTTGATGAGTCATTTCCAGTTTTTCATTGTTCATTCATTCATTCAGTGCATATTTATTGAGCCACCTACTGTGTGCTACATATTATTCAGTCATGAAGAGTCAGTGATGAATTGAAAGTCCTTGGCCGGGCTCAGTGGCACAGCCTGTAATCCCAGCACTTTGGGAAGCCCAGGCGAGTGGATTGCCTGAGCCCACGGATCGAGACCCACCCCGGCAACTTGACGAGACCTCGTCTCTACAATAAATCAAAAATTAGCTGGACATGGTAGCACGTGCCTGTAGTTCCAGCTACTTGGAAGGCTGAGGCGGAAGGATCGCCAGAGCCCAGCGGGTCGAGGCTGCAGTGACCAGGAGTGTGCTACCACTATACTCCAGTATGGGTGACAGAGTGAGACTCCAACTCAAAAAAAAAAAGAAAGTCCTTGCCCTAAAGAACCTTATATTCTTTTAAGCAGGCCCTAGGGGACCTTATGATCTTATAAACAAGGCGGCAGAAAATATATCCTTGTACACATTATGTTTATTCACTTGTTGGACATAGTGCTGTTGAATCAGAGTATTTAGATTTCAAATACAACAGATATAATCAAATTGCTTTTCTCAACATTATACCAACTTAATATTATCACTAATAATGCCCTCACCAACATTAGACACACTTCATCTTTATCAACTTTGTCAAGCAGGCAAAACATACCTTATTTTAATTTCCATTTCTTTGCTTATTAATAGAGTATATTTTCACATGTTAATTAGCCATTTGCATTTATTCTATTAACTGCCTTTAATGTTTGTTGCCCATTCTTCTATAGGGGTTTGGTTTTTTTTTATATATATCTTTATTGTTATTGATGATTTCTTACTACATAGGCCTCAAGGTATATTATCCTACTAAGCTGGTGATCTTTTAACTCTTGTGTATTGGCTTTTTTGCCCCAGTGTAGTCAAATTTGTCAGTCTTTTCTTTTATGGTTTCTGATTTCACATGATGTTTAAAAAAGACTTTCTATCAACATTCTCTTTTTTTCTAATCTTATTTTTATTTTTACATGTGAATATTTAATAAAGCCGAAATTTTTGTGTGTATTATAGAAAGAAGGTATTAACTTATTTTTCTTCAAAAAATGACATTGACTTGATAACCCATCTTTGCACACTGACTTGAAGGGCGACAGTTCTTCATGGTATCTAAACATTAGTTGTTATCTGTGCACTTCCAGTGACCCACCTGTCTTTTTTCTTTTTTTTGGAGTTGGAGTCTCACTTTGCTACCCAGACTGGAGTGCAGTGGCACACTCATGGCCACTGCAGCCTCAACATGCTGAGCTCAGGTGATCCTTCCACCTCAGCCTTCCAAGTAACTGGACCCACAGGTGTACACCACCACACCTGGCTGATTTTTGATTTATTGTAGAGACGAGATCTTGCCATGTTGCCCAGACTGGTCTTGAACCCATGGACTCAAGATCATCTTGCCTCGCCTCCCAAAGTGCTAAGATTACAGGCATGAGCCACCGTGCCCAGCAACCCACCTGTCTTTTATTCTGCAATACTAAAGACTATTAATTTATACTAATAGTACATTTTTTTCTTTTTCTTTTTTTTTTTTTGAGTTGGGGTCTCACTCCTTCGCCCAGGCTGGAGTGCAGTGACATGCATGCTTATGGCCACCTCAGCATCGACCTTCTGGGCTCCAGCGATCCTTCCGCCTCAGCCTTCTGCATAGCTGGAACTACAGACACACACTACCACGCCCAGCTATTTTTTATTTTATTATAGAGATGCAGTCTCACCAGGTTTCCCGGGCTGGTCCGAACCTGCAGGCTCAGACAATCCATTCGCCTTGAACTCCCAAAGCGCTGGGATTACAGGCTAAGCCACCAAGCCAGGCCTGCTTTTTCTGTTTTTCAAACATTTCTTGACAGTGTTCATATATTTATACTTCCAATTGAACCTTAGAAACTGAATTTTAAGAATCGATTTCTGTTATTATTTTGTTTGTGGTTTTTGGGGGGTGTTTTAAATTGGAGTCTCACTCTATTGCCCAGACTGGAGTGCAGTGGCACACTCCCAGCCACCGCAGCCTCAACCTGCTGGGCTCAGGCGATCCTTCCACCTCAGCCTTCAAAGTAGCCGGAACTACAGGCACGTGCTACCACACTCTGTTAATTTTTGATTTATTGTAGAGATGAGGCCTCACCATATTGCCATGGCTGGACAAATCCACAGGCTCAGGCAGTCCTCTCACCTCAGCCTCCCAAAGTGCTGAGATTATAGGCTTGAGCCACCGTACCCGGCCTTGTTTGTGTTTTTATGAGCCATTTAAAGTCTCTTAAGAATGAGCCAGATAAGCCAGGCTCGGTGGCTCAGCCTGTAATCCCACGCCTTTGGGAGGCTGAGGTGAGTGGATTGCCTGAGCCCGCAGGTTTGAGACCCGCCTGGGCAGCGAGACCTCATCTCTACAATAAATCAAAAAATCAGCCTGGTGTCATAGCGCGTGCCTATAATTCTGGCTACCGGAAGGCTGAGATGGAAGGATCGCCGGCGCCCAGCAGGTCGAGGCTGCGGTGGCCAGGAGCGGCCACTGCACTCCAGTCTGGGCGACAGAGTGAGACTCCAATTCAAAAAAAAAAAAAATGAGCCAGATATAAAAATTAATTAGTCAATATACAATCAAGTCCAGTGGAGGCAATCCTAACCCAGTGCTTGATTTATTAGAAACAAATTTCAGGAAAATAGTGAAAACTCCTCGCTAAACCTAAACTTTTTAATTTTTAAAATTGTTATCTGAGATATATAGTTGTTGGTGAAAAGGAAAAAAGAACAAAAACAAAAAGTGTGTGCTTCTTTCAGAGAATGCAAAGCCAGGTTGTTAGTTAGTTACTCTTTAGACTAGGAAGCATCTTTGAGGAAAAAGAACTCTTCCTGGTATAATATTTCATAGTAGCTGGGAAGAAAACATCTACCACCCAAGTCCTTAATGCCCCAAAGAAAGAATGAGTGAGTGCTGACTGAGACAGACAAGTGGGAGTGGGACTGACCTGAGAAGGTCCCTGTGTTCGTGTGAAATGTAGTCTCTCTCTTTCTCCCCGCCTCCTGTGTATGGGGGCAGGAGGAAGGTGGTGTGAAGGATACTCCTGAAATACTCCTTTTCTATGAAAAAAACTAGGCCACAAAATTGAAATCAGTGACAGTTACAGTCTCCTTGTGAATACTTGCACTTCAGATGTCATCTTCCCTTCCTTTTAGATAATAGGAGAGTCACCAAGTCTGACCCAAAGCAGCACCTTCAGATTATCCAGGACCCTGAGTACAGGCGACTCGGCTGCACCGTGGACATGAACGTGGCACTAGCCACCTTCATACCTCATGAGTATGTTGTCTTCTTCCTGGGAAGTAAAGAATCCTGTCATTCCCAAGCCTGTATGGCTGGTATGATTTGCATGCTGCTTCCTAAATCCTCAGTGGAAGATGAAATAAAGCAACAATACCCATTCTGCTGCTTTAACACACATTATTTTCCCTCTGTCTATGGGCTGGACCATGTTCCTAAATGTGTATGCGAAAATTTTTATGATTAGGAAACTTCTTCAGCCATATTTAAAGTCCTGATAGATAGATTTAAGGTTCCTATGACCTTTGCTAGAAAAGTGTTAAATGCATAATGTGTAAAACCATCGAGTAATAAGTTTGTGTTGCTCTGTCTGCTCTAGCAATGGGCCAGCCGCGGTTGAAGAGTGCTGCAGTTGGTTGCGAAAGAGACTTGAGGAATTAAATGCAGAGAAACTGCGACTCATGAACTATCACCAGGAGCAGGTCTCACCTCTTTTGAACTGCTGCTTTCCTTTGATTCTTAATGCTATTTGGTGGCTGTTGAGGATGATGATGGTGATATAACATAATTTAATGTTTTTTAGGCAGTTAATTGCCTTTTGGGGAATGTGTTTTATGAACGACTGGCTGGCCACGGTCCTAAGCTAGGACCCGTCACGAGGAAGTATCCTTTAGTGACAAGGTATACCATGTTTGTTTTCTCTCATTGGTATTTAATAATTGAAAATTGTGTTTAACTTTTCAAATTAGCCTAAATGTTTTCATGTGTGACTTCAGTATATTTCTTAAATTGAAGTAGAAGTTTGGATTGGGAAATGGGCTCAGTGTTTGCTAGACAGAGCTTTAGTTAGAGAAACTGTCATCAGTGTCAGCCAAGTTACAGGCACTATTGACGTTAGAGTTCCTGGGGGACTGCAGACTCAGCAGCAAAGCCAGTGACCATCGGGCTGAGCAGGTGCCTAGCTCCTTGCACCAGAAGGGTGATGTGCAGTGTGGGGTGAGCAACTAGAGCCCAGCGAAAGCCTTTGCCAAGTGACATCAGTTCCTCAGTGACTCTAAAATAATTTTATGAGGTTTTAAAAATTATGTAAAATGTTTTCCAGGTGTGCTACAGTGTTACCTCTCTATTCTTCAAATCCTACTAGATTTACTCAAAATGGCTGCTGAAGATTTGTGACCTACATTGAAGGGTTTTTTTCCCTCATAAATGGTGTCAAACTAATTCTGTTCACTAGAGAGGAAATATGATTTTAAAGTTGCAGATTCCAGTTCTTTCAGGGAGTTTCTCCATGTGGATTTGATACTTGATTGTATTTCCACAGGTACTTTACCTTCCCATTTGAAGAAACAGCCTTCTTTACAGAAGAGTCTATGATCCATCTCCCAAATAAAGCTTGTTTTCTGATGGCACATAATGGATGGGTCATGGGAGACGATCCTCTTCGAAACTTTGCTGAACCAGGCATGTTATGTTTAACCTCTCTGTGGACAAGGAAAGAAGAGTTACTGATTTTTTTCACCCACGAGGCTGGTGGCATTTATAGTTTCACAATCAGAGGAGTTGGAGGGACCTGAAGTCTCAGAGAGGAAAGACGGAATAGAGAGAAGGATGGGCTCGTCTTCTTTCTTCTTTGCCCTTCTGCTTTCTAGCTCCTCAGAGAGGATAGCTTTAATGTGTCTACTTTATATATTGTGGGTCTATACAAGCTTTTATTTGAGCAGAATATCAGAATATTATTCTATAGCATTTTTTACAAGAATTTTGAAACCACTGCTGTTACACATTGCCTTAGAGATGCCTTCTCTCATTGGCCAGAGGTACCAAGGTACTTACTTGGAAGACAATTACACCAGCAAATAGTTGTTTTTTGTTTCCCACACCTACTCTTAGAGTCTTGTTTTTCTGTGACTATTTCAAGACAAGTAAGAATGTTGCAAGGGGCCCACTGCTGTATTTATTTTTTGACATTTCAAAACTAAGAGTCTATTTTAGTGACATTAAAGGTAGTTTAGAAATCTTTTTTTTTTCTTAAGAATATCACTTTGGTCTGGGCTCTGTGGTTCAGCCCGTAATCCCATCACTTTGGGAGGTTGAGGCAAGTGGATTGTCTGAGTCTGCGGGTTTGAGACCAGCCCGGGCAACTTGGCGAGACCTTATCTCCACAATAAATCAAAAAAATTATTCGGGTGTGATAGTGTGCGCCTATAGTTCCCGGCTACTTGGAAGACTGAGGCAGAAGGATCACTGGAGCCCAGCAGGTCAAATGCTGAGGTGGCCATGAGTGTGCCACTGCACTCCAGCCTGAGCAACGGAGTGAGACTCCAACTCAGATAGATAGAGAGATAGATAGATACGGATACACATATATTTATACATGTATATATATTTTAAATTTTTATAAAACTTTGGGTTTAATTATCTCTGGCCTTTTTCTTTCTAGCCATCTAAATGAAAAAAGTCATTTTGCTTTGTGGCATGGATTTAATATAACCTTTTGCCAAAAATAGGTAGAAAGCTGGACATGGTGTCTTAAGTGCTTTTGTTAGACTATGGCTTTAAAAGGCCTATGATAACCTGCAAGCAGAATGTTGAGGCAGATTTTTTTTAAAGACTTTTTTCAGCCAAAGTAATTTATGATCTCTTGTCTAATGAATTTGTCTATCCTACTTGTTAAAATTTGGGCCTTTTTAAATGTATTGGCAGTATGTGCATACAAAAGCTTTTTATTCTCATTAAGATGATGTATTCTGGAATAAAATAGATGGTTTTGTGTATAGCATACAGAAAAAAAAAAAGGTCTATGATAGTACCATTTCTGTTTTCCCTTAAGAAGCAATTTGGGGCCAGGCACTGTGGCTCAAGCCTGTAATCCCAGCACTTTGGGAAGCTGAGGCGAGAGGATTGCCTGAGCCCGCAGGTTCAAGACCAGCCTGGGCAACATGGTGAGACCTCATCTCTACAATAAAATAAAATTAGCTGAGCATGGTAGCACATGCCTGTAGTTCCGGCTACTTGGATGGCTGAGGCGGAGGGATCACTGGATTCCAGCGGGTCAACGCTGGGGTGGCCTTGAGCATGCCACTATATTCCAGCCTAGGCGATGGAGTAAGACTCCAACTCAAAAAAAAAAAAAAAAAGCAACTTGGATTTTTGACATTGAGCGCATATTTTCAGAAGAAACTGTGAGCTAGAATTTTCACAAAATAGGTATGAAAAATAATATTAATTTTTAAAACCTAGCCGGGCTCGGTGGCTCAGCCTGTAATCCCACGCCTTGAGAGGCTGAGGTGAGTGGATTGCCTGAGCCCGCGGGTTTGAGACCTGCCTGGGCAACTTGATGAGACCTCATCTCTACAATAAATAAAAAATTAGCTGGGCGTGAAGGCATGCGCCTGCAATTCCGGCTACTCAGAAGGCTGTGGCAGAAGGATCGCCAGAGCCCAGCAGGTTGAGGCTGCAGTGGCCAGAAATGGCCACTGCACTCCAGTCTAGGCGACAGGGTAAGACTCCAACTCAAAAAAAAAAAAATTTTTTTTAACTTTAACCCATACCATTTAAAATATAATTTTAATCAGTATATCATTTATGGTAGAGCTGACCATAGCAAATTGAAAACACCAGTGTTCCCTGGAAGTAATTGTTTTCATTTTATTTCTTGAACCACTGAAAGCAATCTCCTTTCTTATCAGGGTCAGAAGTTTACTTAAGGAGAGAACTTATTTGCTGGGGAGACAGTGTTAAGCTGCGCTATGGGAATAGGCCAGAGGACTGTCCTTACCTCTGGGCACACATGAAAAAATACACGGAAATCACTGCAACGTACTTCCAGGGAGTGCGTCTGGACAACTGCCACTCTACGCCGCTGCATGTAGCCGAGGTACAGACAACCCACTCGCCTGCGTCAAAAAGCGCACAGGCTCCTTCCAGTTCTCCTTGGGTAGACTGTGGACCCAGAGCTCCTTCTGTGGGTTGGACCAGCACTGCCTTGGTGTAGAGTTTAACACTTTTGTATAATTTGCATAATTCTGACAGTCTTTTGATCCAGTTTTGAAATACTGTGCTATGAAGTATTTGAGTTAATTTTTAACTTTTAATTTAGAAAATTTGATCCTATTGTTTCTGATAATCTATAGTACAACCATGTTGCCTACTGATAATATATAAAATATTAATTTGTCTTCTTTTTAGATAGCTTTCAATATAAGTAGCAACTGTGTGTCGCCCAGGCTGGAGTGTAGTGGCATACTGATGGCCACTCCAGCCTTGACCTGCTGGGTTCAGGTGACCCTTTCAGGTAGCTGGAGCTACAGGTGAGCGCCACCATACCTGGCTAATTTTTAGATTTATTTTAGAGATTAGGTCTGTACAGCCAAGTTGTCCAGACTGGTTTCTAACCCATGGGCTCAGGCAGTCCTCTCACCTTGGCCTCCCAAAGTGCTGGGATTATTGGTGTAAGCCACTGTGCCCAGCCACAGTAATTATTTAAACACTAACATTGCATAGTGAAGCCAGCTTTAGCTTCACTGATTAAGTTTTTATTCATTATTTATAAGAATATAAGTGTGGATATAAATGTTACCTATTCCTCTTTTACAATAACTTTTGAGCAATGCCAATACTTACAGTATTATCTTCTACCTAATACAAGGTTGTAAATAAGCACAGTGTTCATCCTATAAGATTTTTTTTATTAATCAATATTTTTTATTATGATATTGTGGGGTACAGTTAAGGGTTAGGTATACAAATATGCTTCGTTCAGGCACTCTTGTTGGTAAGAGGTATCTCCCCATCCCCAGACAGATATTTACTACCCTATAAGATTTTTGATAGCTTCCTAGTGGCATGTATCACTTAGGTGTTCTTTGGAAATATGTGCTTATCTGAAAATATCTATTTCTTTAATATTGAGCAGTATTATAATGTATATGTGTCAAGTCCTGAGAGAAAAAGTTGATTTGATTTGGAGGGATTTAGTGAACATTAGTTAAACTGGTAGAACATTGTTTAGCTCCAAAAATGGCAGGATTTTTTTTTAATTGTGCCATTAGCAACAGCAAAAAATGTATATACTTGTAAGTTATGTGTAACAAGGTGACAAAAAAGAATGTTAACACTGAATTTGCTGCTGAGCACAGTGGCTCACACCTGTGGATTGCTTGAGCCCAGGAGTTCGAGACCAGCCTGAGCAGTGAGACCTCGTCTCTATTAAAAAAAAAAATCAAAAAATTAGCTGGGCATAGCGGTGTATATCTGTAGTCCCAGCTACTCGGGAGACTGAGGTGGAAGGATTGCCTGAGCCCAGGAGGTCAAGGCTACAATGAGCTGTGATTGTGCCACTGAGCTCCAGCCTAGGCGACACAACAAGACTCCAACTCAAAAATAAATTAAGCCGGGCTCGGTGGCTCAGCCTGTAATCCCGTGCCTTTGGGAGGCTGAGGTGAGTGGATTGCCTGAGCCCGCGGGTTCGAGACCCGCCTGGGCAGCGAGACCTCATCTCTACAATAAATCCAAAAATCAGCTGGGCGTGGTAGCGTGCACCTGTAATTCCGGCTACTCGGAAGGCTGAGGCGGAAGGATCGCCGGAGCCCGGCAGGTCGAGGCTGCGGTGGCCGGGAGCGGCCACTGCACTCCAGTATGGGCGACAGAGTGAGACTCCAACTCAAAACAAAATTAATTAATTAATTAATTAATTAATTAATTTAATTAAATAACAAAATTTCCTAGGATTCTACTTTATTAACCTTTACAATGTTATATTTTAAAAAATTTTTGGAGCCAATCTGATTTCTGATTATAAGCCAGTATTTTCTGATTCCCAGCTAGATAGCACTTGTATTAAACGTAAATTACACAAGTGGAAATTGTAAAGTGTAAGAGTTAAGAGTTTATCATCCATCTGTAAGAAAAGTTGACTTCAGTAATTCACCAGCAGGGAATTTATCAGTAGTGTCTCAGTCAACCACCTGGAAATTAACAGTCTGATTAAAGGTATTAAAAACAAGCAAACAATAAACAAGGAGAATGCCTAACAGAATTGACATTTATTAATATGACACTAACATTCTTCTTCCTTTTTTTTCCCTCTTGTCTCTATATCTTTGTAAAATCTAATCTTCCTTTCTAACTGTTTTATTCTCTTTTTAATTTCTCTTTTTCCTTGTTAATCGATATGTTTGATGGTTTCTTGCATATGAGGTTTATTTGGAACTTCCTCTTGAATTTCCATTTTCTCTTGCTACATACTTTCCTTTGTCAAATCATGCCTAGTCTTGTCTCCTGCCCTCATCTTGCTTCTCTCTTTCTCTCTGTTATATTTGTGATATTGCCTTATGCAGTACATGTTGGATGCTGCTAGGAGACTGCAACCCAATTTATACGTGGTAGCTGAACTGTTCACAGGAAGCGAAGACCTGGACAACATCTTTGTCACTAGACTGGGCATCAGTTCCTTAATTAGAGGTAGGCTTGTCGGAAGTGTATTTCCCATCTGCAACTTTAGCTTTTAAGTAGACTAAAAGGCATTTAATGGTTTTGTATGCAGTGCTCAATACTTTTTCATACAATTAATGTTCTTTTAAATAGTCTGACATTTTCTAGTATAACTCAGTCTGTTTTTATCAGTAATAATTTCTATGGTTGAATAAGACACCACCTTTCAAATTGAAGGAGCAGTGAGATGAACTGATAACTCACAAGCAAGAGCATTTTTTTGTTGTTGAAAATCTGTAGCTCTGCTTTCCATCTCCCACCTGGATAGAGTACGGGATCCTTAGATTTTTCACAGTAGATTTTGTATAGCTTACATCTTAATAAGCAACATCTAATATGTCCCCTTTTCCTTGCATGAGTCATTTCTTAAGTTATAGGAAGACGTTTTTGTCGCTTAAACCAGTGGACATCTGCTTAAATGCATAAAGTTGCTTTATTATTTATGATATTGAGGGGGTCTCTATTTTTGAGAGTCAGTCGTGCTAAGAAGTCTAACCCCTTCTCGGACATAAATAACAAAGATGGCTGCGATGTCTGTCATGCTCTGCAGAGGCGATGAGCGCATACAATAGCCATGAGGAGGGCAGGCTGGTCTACCGATATGGTGGAGAGCCCGTGGGGTCCTTTGTCCAGCCCTGCCTGAGGCCTCTGATGCCAGCCATCGCTCATGCCCTGTTCATGGACATCACCCATGACAACGAGTGTCCCATTGTGGTAAGCATCTCCTCTTTCTCGCTTGTTTACTGATTTTGTTGAATGTTTTGATATTGAACTCTCCAGTAGCAGCAGTACCATCCACATACTTCAACATCATGTTTTAAGTGTCTAAGTGATGGTAGTCCATCGTTTTAGAATACTTTGTTTAGAAACAAATTGCCTTATACGATATATTTATGCAATTATTCTTGTACTTAACTTTGCTATATAGAATGTCGCTTTGCTTTTTAAAGTGAACCTTTGCCTTGTTGCATTTTTCTAGCACAGGTCAGCGTACGATGCTCTTCCCAGTTCCACCATTGTCTCCATGGCGAGCTGTGCTAGTGGCAGTACCAGGGGCTACGATGAGCTGGTACCTCACCAGGTGTGCTCAGTTGTCTTTGAAAATCCACATGGCCAACAGCTTGGAGCGTGTTTATCAAAAGTGCTCATTGTGGCCGGGCACGGTGGCTCATGCCTGTAATCCCAGCACTTTGGGAGGTGGAAGCAGAGGATTGCCTGAGCCCACAGGTTCAAAACCAGCCTAGGCAACTTGGCAAAACCTCATCTCTACAATAAATTTTTTAAAAATTAGCCAGGCATGGTGGCACATGCCTGTAGTCCCAGCTACTCGGAAGGTAAGGCGGAAGGATCGCCTGACCCCAGCAGGTCAAGGCTGCAGTAGCTGTGAGCGTGCCACTGCACTCCAGCCTGGGCAACAGAGTGAGAGTCTTGACTTTAAAAAAAAAAAAAAAAAAAAAAAAGCTGTCAGTGTTACTAAAATGCATTCTTGGCTCACTTTTACCTGTGTCCAGATTTCAGTGGTTTCTGAAGAGCGGTTTTACACTAAGTGGAATCCTGGAGCATCCCCATCAGACACAGGTGAAGTTAATTTCCAGAGTGGCATCATTGCAGCCAGGTGTGCTATCAATAAACTTCACCAAGAGCTCGGAGCCCAGGGCTTCATTCAGGCAAGAAACTAAGTTCTCTACATTTGCTTCTTAAGGGTCTATTTCAGAGTCTTTCCTGCTGAAGCCCTGGTTTCCAGTGTGAACTCTCAACCTGTGGCTTTCTGTTTCAGGTGTATGTGGACCAGGTTGACGGAGACATAGTGGCAGTGACGCGACACTCGCCGAGTATCCATCAGTCTGTGGTGGCTGTGGCGAGGACTGCCTTCAGAAATCCCAAGACTTCGTTTTACAGCAAGGAAGTGCCCCAGATGTGCATCCCTGGTAGTGCAGTCTAAGACTCGTTCTTGGATTTGTATTGGATTGCTCAATTATGCTGTAATGTTGTATTAATTTATGGTTATATATCATATGTGATAACTCAATGCTCATGTGGATATAGTTGAGAAAAAGGATTAGACATTTTTGGTACATTTGTACTGCCTGAAACAAAACCTAGACAGAAATACTCTCAGATGTTAACTTTTTTTTTTGAGTTGTGAAATATTTTTGTTTCTATCTTAATATATTTCCTAATTTGCATTAAATGAACATGTATTTCTCTTACACCCAGGACTGTACTTCTGTATTTGTATATGTGTATATGTATATATGTGCGTGTGTATATTTATGTGTATGCATAAACATACACACAATATATAAACTGAAATTAAATGGAAAACACTCCAACCTTGTGTTGAAGGTTCTCATTAACCCATCCTCGTCCACATCCTGGCTTTGTGTCACTCCACTATTTCAGCCACACAGTTATTCTCACTTCTCCTGAGTACTCAGGCTTCCCTCTGTATGTGAATTGTCTGCATCCTTCAGAGACTTGCGTCCCACCCCCTCGTTCAGCATTCTCTCTTTTCTGAACACAGAGTAGTCATAGTTTCTGTCGTCAAGCCTTTGACCATTATGAAGTGTGTCCCTGAGATATGTCCTTATCATTGCTTGACTTCTTTCTGCGTTTTCTAAGACTCTTATAGTTTGATACTTTCAGACTTTTAAAAAATTAATATTTTATTTGTAGTTAAGTGATTTGAAACCTCTTTAGCAGTCCTAATTTTGAATGGTCCATATGAAATTTTGTTAAAATTTTTTCTGTATTCCTAGGCAAAATTGAAGAAGTAGTTCTTGAAGCTAGAACTATTGAAAGAAATACAAAGCCTTACAGAAAGGCTGAAAATTCAATAAATGGAATGCCAGACATCACAGTGGCAATTAGAGAGCATATTCAGGTATATGACACTATCATGTTACTACTATGCTTAACATCTTAAGGACATGAGAATTATTTGTTGAATAGATTTTTATTTCATTTTTTTCCAGCTTAATGAAAGTAAAATTGTTAAACAAGCAGGAGTCGCCACAAAAGGTCCCAATGAATATATTCAAGAAATTGAGTTTGAAAACCTGTCTCCAGGAAGTGTAATTATATTCAGGTATGTAATTAAAGATCAAACTGTTGACTTTACTTATATTTAAAATAGTTTACATATCCTGTTAACTTTGAATAAATTACTCCTAAAAGCTCACCATTTTTTATGCACGTTTTCAGAGTTAGTCTTGATCCCCACGCACAAGTCGCTGTCGGAATTCTTAGAAACCATCTGACACAGTTCAGTCCTCACTTTAAATCTGGGAGCCTTGCTGTTGACAATGCAGATCCTATATTAAAAATTCCTTTTGCTTCGTAAGTATGCCTCGTTTTATAGAGATTTGCTACTTCAATAACTAAGTTACCTCTAGAGTAATTTAAGCTGTATTTAAGGGTCCCCTATGTCCTTACTACTCAAAGTGTGGTCCAAGGACCAGCAGTGTCAGCATCACATACTGTTGTTATCCTGTTGCTTTGTCATTTGTGCTGGTGTACTCTGTATAGATGTAGACACACATACATGCTCACATGCATACACACATTCACACCTCTCTGTACGCATACATTCCTCTCTCTATACATACACACATACACAGTTTCTCTGAACTACTTGAGACTAAGTTGCATACATTATACCTTTGTTACTCTATGTTATGGCTGTGCCATAATTTATTTATTTAAACAGTCTTCACTTTGGATATCTAGATTGCTTCTAGTTATGCCCTCTTATTCATGTCTTTGTACATTCAACTTTGCATAAATCCTTAATTACTTATTCCCTTACTAGGTGGTACTGCAAACTACCAAAGAGTATGAGTTTGAAAATTTAGACCTGGATTTAACTTCAGCTTTACCACTGTCAATGTGATCTTGGGCAATTTATTTAGAACTTTCTTCGTCTCAGTCTCCCACCTGGAAAATGGGACTTAACAGTACCTGCCTCTTAGGTTTTATAAGGATTAAATAGGATCATGCATATAAAGTACTTAACACAATGCCTGGCACATATAAGTGCTCCATATATGTTTGTTATCATTAGTACTAGGATAAATTTCCAGAAATGAAATTTTGGACTTAGACTATATCCACAATATGAGGCTTGTAATACATACTGCCAAAATTTCCTCCAGAAAGATTACATTAATTAATGTTTTCAGATCTATGTGAGAGTTTCCATCTTTACCAATACTGAGTATATGAGGGGGGACCCCACAAAAACAGCATTTATTTAGTTTTAAAAGTGTGTATTTATTCTTACATGTTTAAATTTTAGTCACCTAAGTATTCTCCATTTGATGCAGTATACCTATCAAGATGCTTTTTCCACTGCTCAAAACAATTTTTGAACTCATCCTTCTTGATGGCTTTTAGGACTTCTGCTGTTTTTTGTTTCACCTCTTCCACATCAGCAAAACATTTTTCTTTGAGGACTTTTTTCATCTGGGTAAACAAAAAAGTCACTCGGAGTGAGATCTGGTGAATGGGGAGGGTGGGACGCAAGGGTCATGCCGGTTTTGGTGAAAAATTGCTGAACACTCAGTGCTATGTGGGCTGGTGTGTTATCATGGTGGAAAAACCAGTCACCTGTTTGTTACAACTTGAGACGTTTCTTCCACTCAAGGTGATGCAACCTTCTCAAAACCTCCAGATAAAAACTTTGGTTGACTGTTTGATCCAGAGGAACAAATTCTGAGTGTACTACATGGGGCCTGCCCTCCAAAAGATAATTCTGGTTTTATTGGGATCCCCCTCGCATATTATAATGTAGTGTTTAAGAGCCTGAGTATAGAAACCACTACCTGGGTTCTAATTCTGTTGCAGACTCTTATTAGTTACCAGAAATAAAACCTTGACAGTTTATAGTAGACATCATGATTGCACCTTTCATACAGAGTTGTGAGGATTCCTTATGTAAAACACAAGAGTGTGTAACCTATAGTAAGTGGTTGGTAAGTGTTAGCTGTTACTAATCAAGTTAGTAAATTTAAAAATACTTAAAAATTGCCTGGGCACTGTGGCTCATGCCTGTAATCCCAGCACTTTGGGAGGTGGAGGCAAGAGGATTGCCTGATCCCACGGGTTGGAGACCAGCCTAGGCAACTTGGTGAGACCTCATCTCTACAATAAATTAAAAAATGAGACTGGCTGCAGTGACTCATGCCTATAATCCCAGCTCTTTGGGAGGCTGAGGTGAGAGGATTGCCTGAGCCCACAGGTTCGAGACAAGCCTGAGCAACTTGGTGAGATCTCATCTCTTGAGTAAATCAAAAAATTCACCAGGCGTGGTGGCACATGCCTGTAATTCCAGCTACTTGGAGGGCTGAGGCAGAAGGAGCGCCTATGCCCAGCAGGTTGAGGCTGTGGTGGCCATGAGCGTGTCACTGCACTCCCGCCTGAGTATCAGAGTGAGACTCTGACTCAAAAAAAAAAAAAAAAAAAAGGCCGGGCTCTGTAGCTCAGCCTGTAATCCTAGCACTTTGGGAGGCTGAGGCAAGTGGATTGCCAGAGCCCAGGGGTTCGAGACCAGGCCGGGCAACTTGTGGAGCCCTCGTCTCTACAAAAAATAAAAAATTAGCTGGGCACAATAGCACATGCCTGTAGTTCTGGCTACTTGAAAGGCTGAGGTAGAGGGATCACCAGAGCCCAGCAGGTCAATGCTGGGGTGGCTGTGAACATGCCACTGCATTCCAGCCTGGGCAATGGAGTGAGATTCCAACTCAAAAAAAAAAAAAAAAGTTAACCAGGCATGGTGGTGCATGCTTTTGGTTCAAGCTACTTGGAAGGCTGAGGCAGAAGGATCTCCTGAGCCCAGCACGTCAAGACTGTGGTGGCTGTGAGCATACCACTTCACTCCAGCCTGGGCGACAGAGTGAGACTCCAACTCAAAAAAAAAAAAAATCTTAAAAATAACATCTAATTTAATCTAAGTATTAGTTAAGCTAAAAAAATGTTTTTTTCATTGACTATTTGTATTTTCATTGAAGTGTTATGTATTAGCCCAATTTTCTGTTGTGTTTAATTTTTTGTTGTTTTATGAACCCTATTATTATTAAGGATATTAACTCTTAATTCAGACTACTCTTAGTAAAGTAGTTGCATTCTTTAAAAATCTGTGATGAAACAGCTTTGTGTTTCAGTGGAAGAATGCTTATAAAATTCAGGTTCCTCCTGGACCTACTCTGATTATCTAGAGGCAAGGTCAAGGAGTCTGTGGTTTAATAAGATCCCCAGGCAATTTTTAGGCAAGAAGTCCACTAGTGAGGTGTTGAATACTACTTTCCCAGAATGGTTGGGACTGAGGCTTCTGATTGGCTTGACTCAGGCTTGACGCAAAACTAGCCTTGGGAGGCGGCTGAGGCAGAGGAGCAACACCTTTGGCAACAATTTTCTAAACTCAGGCAGAAATGAAAGAAAGAGGGCAGTGTTGTATGCTCAGGAGGACATGCGTTCAGGTAAAGTGGCAGTTGTGTAAGATGAGATCACCTGAGCAGCAGAAGCACAAGAAAACATCAGTTTCAATTATATTCAGGTGGGATAACTTAGAGTCTCTCTGCTTACTAACAAAAGAAGATCATGGCCGTGCTGGTTCTACTTCCCTCTGACCTGTCAAAAGCATCTGCATCTGAAAAGAACCTGGTGTCTAGAGGAATCAAGCAGAGGAGCAGTGTGGCTTCTGAAGAAGAGAGCAGGGACCACGATTCCTCAGCACTTAACTTTGACTTTTGATGATCACTTCTCTGATCCTTAAGTGTTTTGAGTTTGAGATAACTAGCATAAATCATTTTTGCTGTCTCACTTAGAGGAATGTAAAGGAGGGGAAAAGCCAAGTCAAACTAGAAAGATTTTTTAAAAAGCAAATTCATAAGATAGAGACCACAGCAATCAAAAGATTCTCTAGCATAATTCTAATCAGTACAATTTGGCACTTGATTATTTCCTTGGTTTAGGAGTAATGTTACTTCTAAATGAATTTTTGGTGTGTTTTGCCCTTTAATGATTATTTATGATGTATATTGTGTATAATGTTTATTTGAATGCTGAGCTTCTAAAACGTACACTGCTAAGATAGTTTATGGCTACAGTTCAGATTTTATTCTTTTGTTTCTGTTGCTAGCAAGTGAAATTTTTTTATATTTAACCAGTTATCTTGTTTTTCCAATTCCTAGTATTGCTTCTAAGTTAACTTTGGCTGAGCTAAATCAGATCCTTTACCGATGTGAATCAGAAGAACAGGAAGATGGTGGAGGGTGCTATGACATACCCAACTGGTCAGCCCTCAAATACGCGGGTCTTCAAGGTGAGTAGATGGGGTAGCCAGGCTTTGTGCTTTTCTCCTGGGGTCATCTGGCATCTTGTGTATGGGCCCAGAGTGTGATTTTCACATTCGGCTCTTATTCCTATATAAACTCTCATTGTATGTAAGCTCTCTGTGCCCCAATTTCTGCCTCTATTAAATGTGAATAATTGTATCTAATTTAGAAAGTTTTTGTCAGGATTAAATAAGGTCATTTATGCAAAGCACTAAAAACAGGAGATGGCGTGGGTATCACTCTCAGTAAATGTTACCTAGAATTACTTGTTCAGTGTCATTACTTAAGGTCATTTGTAGCTTTTTGTATATACTTTGACCTTAATTAATGTTTCTTGACCTGGTTCATTAAGTAGCAAGAAACAGAATATGCTTGTTTGGGCTACAAATGGGACTAGGTTGTAAATACAATGCATTCATTTTTTTTATCCAATTGGGAATATTTTTGTTGCTTGTTTGTTTTATTTTATAAAGAGAACTTGTAGATAAAAATTACATAGAGTAGTTGTAAGATGAGTTAATGGAGTTAAATATTGAACTATCAGTTGAATCCATCTAGTTGGTAATATTTTCTTAGATGATTGTTTAAGAAATTGGCTTTACCACACCCGTACCCCTGATTCAATTTCCATTGCCATGCCTCCTTTTCACCTTCTTGTTTCTCTGTCCATCTAATCCATGTTTAAGGGTCAATTTAATTCTTACATCTTCTGTAAAATCTTTCTTAACTGTTGCTTTTTATAGTAATTTCTTTTTCCTCCCAACACCCATTGTGTTTATTTGCTATTCCTCCTACTCTTAAAATCAATTGCCTTATTTTGATAATTAGTGTAATGTCTTTTGTGAATCTTTATCATTGTGATTAAAGAAACAGGCTTTTAATGCTGAGGCGAGTGGATTGCCTGAGCCCACGGGTTCAAGAGCCACCCGGGCAACTTGGCGAGACCTCGTCTCTACAATAAATCAAAAAAATTAGCCGAATATGGTAGCGCGCACCTGTAGTTCCTGCTACTTGGAAGGCTGAGGCAGAGGGATCGCTGGAGCCCAGCAAGTCGAGGCTGCGGTGACCGGGAGCGGCCACTGCACTCCAGTCTGGGCGACAGAGTGAGACTCCAGCTCAAAAATAAAAAAAAAGAAAAAAGAAACAGGCTTTAAAGTCAGATTTCCTGGGTTACCTTGACTTTATAACCTTGTAGTAAACTCTCTCTGGCTCAGTTTTCTCATTTGTAAAATGGAGATAATAATACCCACCGCAAGGGGTTATGGTTAGGATTAAAGAATTACTACATGTGAAGCTTTAGGCCATAACCTAGTTCATACTAAGTACTCAAGTTGTTAGCTTTAAAATTATGCTAAGTAGACTGTACCTTGAGGAAGAAGAATGTAGGTTTTATCTTCACTGTGGTTCTTATTTTTTAGCTTTTATATCTCCTACAAAACCAAGCACTTAAGAAGCTCTTGATAAACTTTTTTAAGACTTGTACTTACAACTTTTTATTCCCTAAAATATTCTCTCATTTTTAAGTGTTTTGCGCTGTAATAAAGAAGTGTGTGTGTGTCCACTTTTAAGCATGTGTCTGCTCCATTTCCACTCTAAGCTCATGAACTCCTTCTACTTGACTTCTGTGAGCTCCTTTTCTGGCCTTTGTCTTTCTTAAAGTTAAATTTGGTGTTTACTAATTCTCTTTATCCTTCTAATGAAATGAATTTGCTCACCCTTTCTAAATACAAGTGTCCTTACCTGAGTTGTTTTTGTTTGTTTGTTTGTTGTTTTATTGCTTTCTACCAATCCCTTTTCCTCCTGATAGTTTGATATTTTCAGCAGCCCACAGGATATTTCCAGCAGCTGTTAGTAGCAGCTTCAGATTAAATCACACTTGACCACTGTATTGACCTTTCTTTCCCCTAAACAGAACTTCCCTCCTACTTCTTACAACACCATGTATTTAGTCATGTTGGATTCCAGGTGTCTACTTTCAGGTCTGTCCCTTTTGTCCTCAGTATTCAGGCAGTAGTTGGGAGTTGTGGGTTATTTTTCATATTCTGTTTGGTACACCACATCCTTTTTAGTTCCATAGTTTCACTTTAATCTAGGACCAAGTCCTTTTCACAAAACTAGTTTTCCAGTTCTTGATACCTTTCCCACTGTCATCAGATCTGTTCTCTTTTTTCTTTTTTTCTTTTTCTTTTTTATTTTTTTGAGTTGGAATCTCACTCTGTCACCCACTCTGCAGTGCAGTGGCACACTCTTGGCCACCACAGCCTCTACCTTTCAAATAGCTGGAATATATGCGTGCACCACCATGCCTAGCTAATTTTTTTTTTAGTGTAGAGACAAAATCTTACCAAGTTGCCCAGGCTAGTCTCAGACCTTTGGGCTCAGGTAGTCCTCTATCCTCTGCCTCCCAAAATGCTGGGATTACAGGCGTGAATCACCAAACCCAGCCAGATCTATTTTCTAGAAAACTGTTTTCATTATGTCGTTCCATTATTCCACCCCGGAACCAACATGTACTGAGCATTATTTGCCTTCCATGAAACTGCTGGGATGTATGTAGAACATTACTTTATACTATCTTATTTTCTAGCATTCTTAATGTTTTAAGTTTTGTTTTCCAAAGAAGATTGTAAGCCCCTCAATGAAAGAAATTATCTTAAGTTTATGTATTTGTTTAATTTCTGAAAACATGCTACATACATAGTAAAACTTATTTAATTTTAAAGATAGAAATGTAGTTGAAATGAAGTCAGTGAAGCTAGTATGATTTTTTAAAGTAGAAATGATTTTTTAATAGAATGAAAGAAGTACTATTCTGTTATTGAAATAATAGATTCTGCAATATGTGCATAGGAGTTCTAATACTTCTAACTGAAGACTGGAAGGATTATGAGGATATATATAGATATGCCTCCCTTTCATACTTTGTTTAGTTCCAAGTACTTCTCATTATATTTCAGAGTCCTTCCAAAGCAAGCTTTATTCTTACATCACCATGGGTGCTCTGTGTAATTTCCGTAAATCTTGTCTGAAGATTAATCCATCATTGTCAACATGAAAAGATGCAGGCTTATCAATGTTCTTTCCCCAGATGCTTCAGAGCAAGGAAGCTATGCCAGTCACCTTTGAATATTATAACATTAAAATGCAAAAGACTAGGACAAGTCCCGGGGTTGTGGATCTGGACAAGCTCTGTAGTCTTTGGGATGTGATGCCCTTCATGTCTGTGCATCCTGACTCCCACCTGTACAGCTACACCTGTCTCCAGCCCTGCTCAGTGCCTCTGTGAACTCTGCAGGCCTGTGTTTGCCCTTATGTGTTACCCCAAATCATTAGAGACCAGAGGCTACAGGACCAGATTTACTCTGCAAATAACACAGCATGGCATATCTCTGAATTTGCAGGATTGATGTCCGTACTGGCAGAAATAAGACCAAAGAATGACTTGGGGCATCCTTTTTGCGATAATTTGAGATCTGGAGATTGGATGATTGACTATGTCAGTAGCCGGCTTATATCACGATCAGGGACCATTGCCGAAGTGAGTAGAGCTGTATTCCATCCCATAAAACCCAGTGGCATAGAATTATATCAGCATATGATACTAACATTTGCCTTGTTTTCTCTCCTAAACCATTCTCCTCCTTCCTTCGTCTCTCAGTTCACAGTGGAAATCTGGCTAATAGATCACTAGATAGTCATATTGCCTGCTTAGATTTATCTCTTAGGTCACACCTCGCCTATGTATGTCCCGAGTTCACTGTTGGAATTACTTTTCTGACAGGTTGGCAAGTGGCTGCAAGCGATGTTCTTCTACCTGAAACAGATCCCTCGTTACCTTATCCCATGCTACTTCGATGCCATATTGATTGGTGCCTACACCACCCTCCTGGACGTGGCCTGGAGGCAGATGTCAAGGTACAGCCAGAACTTGAGTCAGCAGGCGTGTTTGTGTGGAGACTCTATACAGAGTCACTATATACATGTTCCCAAAAGACCAAGTCATGAGGACCTGCCATAGACTCATAGCGCTGAAAAAGTTTGCAAGTGGACAGTAAGTGTATTAGCATCCTTTAGTCCGTAGCATAGAAAGACAAACTTAGATATTAGAATCTGTTCTAAAAGCTAATAAAGCATGTTGGTAGGGAAATTCTGTCGTTTTATATTGTTTGTGTGTATTCATTGCCTTATTAAGTTAATTGATACAATATTTAATATAGATATGCACAGTTATTTTTCTGATTTTTCATCAATTAAGAGAAAAAAATATCCTGCTGCTATTATGAAGGAAATTTGCCTTTAATGATGAATTTCCCTAAAATGAAACCACAGATTAAAGTGTACCGGTGAGAGCCACCAGAAGGATTAGGGTGTAATTTCAGAGAGAACAAAGCCGCAACTCTGCTGTTTGCTTTACCACAGTTCATGGGCATAGCCAGAAAAAATAATGTGTGACTTGCAAGCAAATTTGGAATCTCATCTAATTGAACATTGTTTTCAACAGTTATTACCATTGTTACACATGTATATAGAAAAGTCATTTGAAAGAAAGAAACCAAGTAAAATAAACCTGCTAAAAAGGTTTGTATTTCTACAAATAACATTTTAAGCCGCATCACTTTTGTTTCAGCTTTGTTCAGAAGGGTTCAACCTTCGTGAAGCACCTTTCACTGGGCTCCGTTCAGATGTGTGGAGTGGGAAAATTCCCTTCCCTGCCACTTCTCTCTCCTTCACTTGCGGACGTGCCATATAGGCTAAACAAGGTCACAAGAGAAAAGGAACAGTGTTGTGTTTCTCTAGCTGCAGGTAAGAAAGTGTGCAAGGTTAAGCTGGGCATGGTGACTCACACCTGTAATCCCAGCACTTTGGGAGGCCGAGGTGGAAGGATCATTTGAGTTCAGCAGTTCGAGACCAGCCTGAGCAACATAGTGAGACCTCATCTCTACAAAGAAATTTCAAAATTAGCCAGGCATGGTGGCACATGCTTGTAGTTCCACCTACTTGGAGGTTAAGGCTGGAAGATCACCTGAGCCCAGGAGGTTGAGGTGGCAGTGAGCCATTATCCTGCCACTGCACTCCAGCCTGGACAGCAAAGTGAGACCCTGACTCAAAATAAAATAAAATAAGAAACTATGGATAAGATTAAGATGAGCAAGTCAGTAGTATTCACAAAGATGAAGTTATGGGAAAATGATTAATTTGTAAAAACTTGTGATGTTATCCAAGATTTTATGTTTCTGCTTAGTAAATTTTATAGGCTATTCATTCATAAAAATAATAACAGTACTTACTATTTATAGCTATGTACCAGACATTTATGAGTACTTTTTATTGTGACTGGTTAATTCTTCTGCATGTTTCTATTTTCTCCAACTCTTGACATTTTGTATTTTTTTAATCAAATTTATTTTACTATCCTTTATTTCTTTCCCAATATTTTAAAATAAACCCAACTGTGTAATTACCAAGATTATGTAAAGGTCCTCTACAAGTTACAAAACACAAAATGTTAAATAATGTTTTATTATGTGTTAACTGCAATCAAATGCTTTTAATCATAATTACTGGCATTCTTTCCTCCAAGTAGATTTAAAACCTGAGTCAAGTAACAAATAAAGTAAGCAAATAGATTTAATGACAGGCTTTTGTTTTCTTTTTAATACATTTCAAGTATATTTCTAGGACGTACTTAGTATTTGAGGCCACTGAAGTTTAGAATTTTCCAAACTAAACTAAAAAATATCAAATTGCAGGAAGAAAGATATTATATTATCGATGTGATTCCTTCTGTTTACCCTTAAATTTGCATCTGCTTAGACCAGATAAAGAGACTTAGTGGTACTCAGCAGCTAAAATAGAAATTACATTTTCGTTTAGAATGATCACAGTACATGCATAAAGCTCTGACTGTTGTAATTCTGGAATTGTATTTTAGATTTCCATGTAACAGATCTCCTTCTAGTGTCTGTCATTCCCTGTGAATCCATGCAGATGCTCATTAAACTAACCAGCCACTGATTCTTAGAAACTTCTTAACAAAGTGGTGATCTCATCCTGAGTGTGCACTGTTGTTGTTAAACACCCCCAAATACACACGTTTACTTATAGTTGACATACTGATGTGAAGCTGTGACAATTGGTGTACTTACATGTCAGGTAAAATATAAAACAACATTAGAAACTAAAACACAGGGGACGGGGGGGCACACCTCATCAACAAGGGTACCTGCACAATGCATATTTGTATACTTAACCCTTATCTGTACCCTACAATTTTAAAATAAAAAATATGTTAAAAAAAAAAAAAGAAACTAAAACAGTAAACAGAACTTCTGATATTTAGCTGGGTACAATGGCTCACGCCTGTAATCCCAGCACTTTGGAAGTCGGAGGCGAGAGGACTGCCTGAGCCCACGTGTTTGAGACCAGCCTGGGCAACTTGGCGAGACCTCATCACTACAATAAATCAAAAAATTAGTCTGGTGTGGTAGTGCACACCTATAGTTGCAGCTACTTGGAAGGTTGAGGCAGAAGGATCGCCTGAGCCCAACAGGTCAAGGCTGCAGTGACCATGAGCGTGCCACTGAACTCCAGCCTGGGTGACAGAATAAGACTCTGACTCAAAAGAAAAAGAAGTTCTGATATTTGCTTCTAACATTCAAAAGCAGTGTTTTGCCTATTCTATACTGGCAAAAAATAGGAGTACACTCAGATTTGTAGGTGAGATTTTAGAGTTTATTTTGAACTGGCTAGGAATGCCTTCCTTTGGTAAGAGTATTACATATATATATATTTATATTAATTGACAAATAGAAATCACTTAGATATGTGATATGAAAGTTGTATACTCCTAGAGGTCAAAAAGTTAATACAAACATTTCATTTACCAGCGCTAGAGATTTTATAGTTTAGACTTTTGAGCCAAGACAAATGGCCTGTATTTTAGAACATACCAATTCAAACTCCCCCTTGAACCTGCACTCATGTTTCATACAAAGAAGTAAGTAGGTTAAAAACCTTGGAATCTGTATGACTCAGAATGCTGCAGACAGTACATGTCGGCTGCTGTCATTATCCTCAGAGTTGCCATCATCAACTGTATACATCAGCCATCCATAAGCCGCAGACTAGCCATAAATAAATAGTACACAGTGGGTTTGTGAGAAGTTTTATACAGTTTGAAGACAACATTGGAAAAAAAGGGCTAATGTTGCCTTTAGTTCTGATCTCTTAATGGAAGAAAATAATTCCCAAGATAGTGAAGCCCCATTCATTTAACAAATATTTATAGGGCTATATTATTTACCAGTTACAGTTTTCAGTGAGTAGATATTTGTTGGTGAAAAGTGTAGGTAAGTTTTCTACTGTCTTAGGTTTTATTTTCTACTTGGAAATAGATAGCAAACAAATAAGATAATTTAGAAAGGGTTAGGTGCTTTGAAGATAGTTATCAATGAATGCTGTGTACATTTTGCTTATGTCCTCAGTTTTTCCTTCCTGACATGTTTATTGTATTTATTTATAATTTAGAGGATTCCAGGCTTGATGTTTATCCTTGTACCCCGTTTTAGGGCACCTTTTCTGGGGTGGTGGAGTCTGCAGGTCTGTATGTATTACTATGACTAACGGATTCTATTGTTGTGTTTTCTGTCAGGCTTACCTCACTTTTCTTCTGGTCTTTTCCGCTGCTGGGGAAGGGACACTTTCATTGCACTTAGAGGTCTGCTACTGATTACTGGACGCTACTTGGAGGCCAGGTAGGACAGCCTCTCAAATACTGCAGTGCAAGTTTATGTCCAAATGCATTTTTTACAAGCTCTTTAAACTTTCTTCTTTCTCTATCCATTCTCAATGACATTTGGAGGTGTATTTTCTTTATGTGTTTTTTAGTTATTTTTATATGTTCACTTAATAGGATTATAGGATTGTGGAGGGGTGAGAATCTTCAAAATTGCTAAGTTCCAGATCTTCATATTACAGAGCAGGTTGACTGTCACATTAGCTCATTTATATCAATGAAACTAAAAGTGGTATGATCAAGGCATTGTTAACTCTTTGAGTCTTATAGAAGGAATTTTAATGTCAGGCTTTCCTCTGTTGTCAGACCTTGTAACCTCCAGTTTTATATTTTCTAGACTTTAATTGATATGTTTATTTTTGTTGTTGCTGGTGATCTTTTGTTTTGTTTTGTTTTTTTAGTTGCAGTCTCACTCGGTCACCCAAACTGGAATATAGTGGCATGATCACAGCTTACCACAGCCTCAAACTCCTGGACTCAGGCAATCCTCACTCCTTGGCCTCCTGAGTAGCTGGAACTTATAGACATATGCCACTATACCCAGCTAATTTATTTTCTTTTGGTAGAGATATGGTCTCACTGTGTTATTCAGATTGGTCTTGAACTCCTGGACTCAAGTGATCCTCCTATCTCAGCCTCCCAAAGTGCTGAGATTACAGGTGTGAGCCAACCTACCCAGCCCAAAATGGCGTTTTCTTGTGTACAGTAATATGAATGAATTTTTTGGAGGTTAAAGAGAAGCCCTACAGCAGTGCCACTCAGTGTTCCACAAATCAGTAGTGTCTCTATCACCTGAGAGCTTCTTAGAAATGCAGACGCTTGGTCCCTGTGCCATACCTCCTGAATCAAGTCCTGGAGAAAGGGAGGGTGGGGTTGGTGGGCAGAAATCCATGTTTTCACAAGGTCTCCAGACGATTATTAGCAGCCTGAGGCTGAAGTTAGAAACTCCGCTCCACAAGTTACAACTTTTAGCAGTGTATGACACCATGTTATATGACACCATGTTACATGACACCGTGTTTTGATGCCATTAGGAAAATAGCTGAAGTTTGCTGCTTTGTATGCCAGAAGTTTTATTTTTGATACCTTTTATTTTGATAACTTAGAAATGTCTAAGTGGACATCTGAAATGAATTGCATTTTTTTTCTGCTAACCTAATATTAAAAAAGACCTTTCTCATTAAATCGTCATTATGGAAGTATAGAAATCTGGGAGGCTGTTTGCTTATTCCCTAAATGCCCCTAAAGTAATGATTTAGAAGTAGGAAATGACTGGGTGCAGTGGCTCACGCCTGTGATCCCAGCACTTTGGGAGGTGGAGGCGAGAGGATGGTTTGAGGCCAGCCTGGGCAACTTGGCGAGCCCTCATCTCTACAATACGTCAAAAAAATTCGCCGAGCATGGCGGCGCATGCCTTTAGTGCAACAAGCTGTGACCTGTCACCTGTTGTGTATGACCTGTGATCCAAGAACAGCTTTTACCTTTTTAAGCAGTAATTTTTTAAAAAGAAGAAAGATTATGTGACAAAGACCATATGTAGGCTATAAAGCCTAAAATACTTAGAATGTGACCCTTTCTAGAAATAGTCTGCCTACTCCAACCTAGACGATCTCCAAGGATACTAGTACTAGCTAGTTAGTGCTAGCTACAGTAAATTATACATATATGGCCAGGCGTAGTAGCTCAAGCCTGTAATCCCAGCACTTTGGAAGGCAGAGGCTAGTGGATTGCCTGAGTTCAGGGGTTCGAAACCAGCTTAGACAACTTAGCGAGCGCTCATCTCTACAATGAATCAAAAAATTAGTTGGGTGTGGTGGCACGCACCTGTGGTTCCAGCTACTTGGAAGGCTGAGGCAGAAGGATCACCTGAGCCCAGCATGTTGAGGCTGTGGTAACCGTGAGCATGCCACTGCCCTCCAGTCTAGGCGACAGAGTGAGGCACCAACTCAAAAAACAAAATAAAAAATAAAAATAAACTGAGACATGAAGTTGATAAAATTTTTAAATTATTTAGCCAAAAAGCATTAAGCCCTGGGCATCTTAAATGACTTTTCCACCTGGGCATGGTAGATCATGCCTATAATTCCAGCACTTTGGAAGGCTGAGGCAGGAGAATTGCTTGAGCTCAGGAGTTTAAGACCAGTCTAGGCCACATAGCAAGACCTCATCTCCTCAAGAAAAAAAAAAAATTTAGCTGGGTGTGGTGGTACACATCTGTAGTCCCAGCTACTCGGGAGACTGGAGCAGAAGGATTGCCTGAGCCCAAAAGATCAAGGCTGTGGTGGCTTTGATCATGCCACTGCATTCCAGTCTGAGCTCAAAAAAAAAAATTGTTTTTTAAATGACTTTTCCAAGGTCATACAGATGGCAAAGCTGGGATTTCGATTTAAGCCTTCTTATTTCTCCAGCCTGCTCTTTCTACAGTGCCATATTCTCTTGCAAACTAAGTTATCATTTGTTATATAAAAGTAGAATAACACTTTAAAAGATAAAGTTCTACCAGTTTTTATACATGAATTAAGTTTTTCAAAATCAGCTTCTCCTAATTTGTTTTCTTATATGCTTGTTTTGCTCTTGGTTTCTGCGATCTAAAATAACAGAGTTTATGTTTCATAATTACTTAGATTTAGAAATTCCATGGATTTCAAAAATAGAATCTGGAGTCATGAGGGACCTTAAGGATCACCAGTCCAGGCCCTCACGCCACAGGTCAAAACACTGTACCAGAGGAAAGTCACACAGATGATTAGAGGAGGAGTCCAGGATAGACTCAAGGCTTCTGACTTCAATTCAGGGCTTATTCTATCATATTGTGACTACTTTCTACATGAAATTGTAAAGAAATCAGACAGGAGAGGAAATGTATCCAAATGCAGTCATCAAAAGCAACAGGTTTTTGTCTTCGTTTTTTAAGTGTTTGTTTTCACTTCAGTTGGCCCACTTAATTCTGTTGTTTTAGGAATGTTATTTTAGCATTCGCGTCTACCCTGAGGCATGGTCTCATTCCCAATCTCCTTGGAGAGGGAACATATGCCAGATACAACTGCCGGGATGCAGTGTGGTGGTGGCTGCAGTGTGTTCAAGATTACTGTCGCATAGTCCCCAGTGGCCTGGACATCCTCAGATGCCCAGTTTCCAGGATGTATCCCACCGATGACTCTGCGCCTCTGCCTGCTGGCACACTGGTAAACAGCATTTCTTAATGTAACTGTTTTCCTGAAAAATTGTTTTTAGTTTTTAATACAAGAATAAATGCAATTAGGAATCCAAATCTAAGAAATGATTCAAATATCAGTGTTTAGTTAGCACCTGCTGTTGTATGCGGGATTGCAGAGATGAGATTTGCTCCTTGCCTGAAGAGCTTGCAACATGGGACGTGCTTATGTGTAGAACAGGGGTCCCTAACCAGTCCGGGTCCCTGGCCTCTTGGGAACCAGGCCGCGCAGCCGGACGTGCTCTGTCTGCTGTAGATCACCAGCTGCATTGGATTCTCCCAGGAGTACAGACCCTGTTGTGAACTGCTGGGATTTAGGTGGCATCCTGCTTATGAGGCGCCTGGCGCTTCCTGCCCACCCCCATCCACATCCATGGAAAAGTTGCCTTCCACAAAACTGATCCCTGATGCCAAAAAGATTGGGGACCACTGGCATAGAAGAAGTGGCACCCATTCTATTCAGAGGGAGGGCGATCTGATGGGGCCTCCAGGGACTTTAGGGAGTCACTGAGATGCCACCTGTCAAGCCTTCACAGGGGAGGAGGGACGTGGAAGGCATTGAGGATGAAGGGGAGATGAAGGCACCATGGACTGGAGCATAGCTGAGAAAACGCAGCAGTGGGGCTGGCTTGGGGCTGGCTTGGGGCAGGGGAGCTTGTAGGAGGGTGTAACTGATCATGGAGGGCCTTGACCAGTCTAGAGCATCAGAGTTTATCTTAGGAACACTGAAGAATGGGTGGGTATTTTTCCCCAATCAAGAGGGCACCTGATGCTGTGCTCCAGCCACCTTGGGTCTGTCTCCTTTGTTAAAGTGTTGAGTGTATACATCTGGGGGTAAGACCTGTCTAAGCATCAGGGCTGGCATATATTTGGGTCCCCTGATGTTTATTTATATCATGAAGATCTCAGAGAGTATTTGTCCCAACATGTTTGTACTTGCTTTCTGTTCTTGACCTTTCAGCTTCAGTTAGCAGGCAGGCTCATGTTAGCAGGCAGGTTTTTATTGTACACATAATTGTTTTCTCACAGATTGTCCAAAACATTTTTCCACAGCTTCATAATTTTTATACTTATTAATAGAATTTTTATATGATAGAGTTTTAGTTTTATTCAGAGTTTTGTTTAATGCAGCATAATAAACATATAAAGACTCTAAACATTTTGTTTCTATTTGACATTTTTTACCTTATTTTAAAAATATAATTATGTGTTTCCCTACATGTAATCCTGAGTATCACACTTATTATTTATATGGGTAAAGAAAACGACTTAAGTTCTCTTTATATTCACTGGGGATATTTTCCCAAATTTTTCCAAAGTCATCATAGATCCTCAGGATTTAAAAATATCACTTTTGTACACAGTTTATCCCTGTTACCCCGCAGGCAGCTGAATAAGACTAGCAATGCCGATTTAAAATTCAGATGCTGAGTGCCAGGCTATGTTCACTTATTTACTCTAATAGAAATGATACAAGCTCACTTGGTTTATTTTCACGTATTGGCAAAATTTTAAATTATTTCATGTTGCAGACATGAATGGTCAAAACTGCAAGTGTTGGCCAGGTATGGTGGCTCACACCTGTAATCATAGCACTTTGGGAGGCCAAGGCAGGAGGATCTCTTGAGCCCAGCAATTTGAGACCAGCCTGGGCAATATGGCAAGACCTCATCTCTATTATTAAAAAAAAAAAATACTTAAAAAAATTTTTTAAATACAAATGTTAAATATTTGTTTGCCAAACGGTATTACTTGGTGTGTAGGGGCTGCCTCTTTCCTGGCCTCACCCCAATCCCTAGTTCTCCCTCCAGAGGGCAGCATATATTTTCACAGTACTTCAGTTGTAGGATTTGGGAAAGATTAGGAAAATGTCATTTCTAAAACAGGTGGCATCCATTGTGTCGCACACAGGATCAGCCGTTGTTTGAAGTGATACAGGAGGCAATGCAGAGACACGTGCAGGGCATCCAGTTCCGAGAAAGAAATGCGGGTCCACAGATCGACCGGAACATGAAGGATGAGGGTACGTACCAGGCCTGTGATAAGGACCTGCTGGCACAGTGAAATGAAACCTGTGAGCCCTAGCTTCCTTGCCGGATAGGCATTTATGTGCAAAGCCCCAGGGCAGACTGTGAAAAAGACTGGCAGTCCCTGATCGCCCCAAGGCTTTATAGTTTATTTTTTTTTTTTGAGTCGGAGTCTCACTGTCACCCAGGCTGGAGTGCAGTTGCATGCTCATGGCCACCACAGCCTCAGCCTACAGGGTTCAGATGATCCTTCCTCCTCAGTCTTCCAGGTAGCTGGAACTACAGGCACGCACCCCCACGCCCAGCTAATTTTGGGGTTTAATGTAGAGACAAGGTCTTGCCAAGTTGCCCAGGCTGGTCTCAAACCCCTGGGCTCAAGCAGTCCTCTCACCTCCTCCTCTCTAAGTGCTGGGATGACAGGTATGAGCCACTGCTCCCGGCAAGGCTTTAGTTTCTAGAGGATTTTGATATTTTCAGTAACTGTAGTGACTGTACTTAGAATAATTGCCACTGACTGAACGCTTGCTGTATACTGGGCATCATGATAACTGCTTTACCACGTGATTCCGTTTGACACTCCCAAGCACACTGGGAATGAGTTTCACTGTTTCCTTTTACGAAATGAAAAGACAAGCAGAGTCGCTTGCCAAGGGTCACAGGAACTGAGCGGCAGAGGGAGGACTTCACTACCGGGGCATTTGTCTCCATAGCCTAGGCGCTTGGAAGTAGTTTTGTGAAAAGGCTTATCTGTGTGCAGCAATACAGTAAGTGGCATTTTAACTTCTTCGTGTTCCTGTGTGGCCCCTGTCACCACCAGGGCAAGGCTAACAGTGGCTTATTTCACTTCATTCCCTGTCCCCCTTAGGGTCATCCCAGTCGGTTTGTTGTATATTTATTTTAAAACATGCATTTGTTTATGTGTATGTGGGAGTTTTTTTAACTTTGTAATTTTGAAAGAATTAGAGACTCATAGGAGTTTGCAAAAATGATACATAAAGTACTGTGAACCCTTCACCCAACTTCCCACAATAGGATGTCAGTTGGGGATGTCCAAACCAGGAAATTGACATGAGTATGATGTTTTCAGTTTTCAGCAATTTTTACATTAAATCCATCAGAACTTCCTGTGACAGGTGGGAGGTGGCATGTGTGACCCTGGGTACACCTTCATACAACCACCAACACATCAAGATATGGAATGGATCCCTCACCACAGAGGGCTCTGTAGACCCCTCATGGTCATACCCATCCCAGTCTCGGCAACTGCCAATGCATTCTGCTTCTCTGTAGTTTTGTCATCTTGAGACGGTTATATAAATGGAATCACACAGTATGTAAGCTTTTGAGATTTATTTTTTTCCCTGAACATATTGCCTTTTAGATCCATCTGCATTGTTGCATGTATTGATGATGTATTCCCGAGTAGTATTCCCTTTTATGGTTATACTAGAGTTACTTTAATCATTCATTCACAGAAGATTATTGGGCTGTTTCCTTTTTTTTTAATTGGCTAATACAAGCAAAACTACTAAGAACATTCATATACAGGTTTTCCAGAGAGGTCACACTGCTTTAAATTTTCACCAGCAAATGAGATACCCAGTTTCCCCGCCTTGCCAGCCTGTGGTGGGACCACCCTTTTTAAAGCTGTTCTGATTGATATGTAGACTGCTGCATTTTACAGTTTTAATTTGCATTTCTCAGGGACTGGCAGTAGTGAATACCTTTCCCTTGCTTTTCCTGTCCATCATCCCTCTTTGCTAAAATGTTGGTTTGTGTCTTCTGCCCACTTTCTAATTAGAGTGCTGGTTTGTTTTTTGTTTTTTGTTTCTTTGAGTTGGGGGTCTCACTGTCACCCAAGCTGGAGTGCAGTGGTATGCTCACAGCCACTGCAGCCTCAACCTGCTGGGCTCAGGCAATCCTTCCACCTCAGCCTTCCAAGTAGCTGGAACTACAAGGTGTGCACCATCACACCTGGCTAATTTTGATTTATTGTAGAAATGAGGTCTCGCCAAGTTGCCCAGGCTGGTCTCAGACCCCTGGGCTCAGGCAGTCCTCTCGCCTCCACCCCCAAATGCTGGGATTGCAGGCATGAGCCACCATACCTGGCAGAGTGCTGGTTTTTTGACTGAGTTGTTTTTTTTTTTTTTAATTGTGGTGAAATGCATGTGTACTTACCATTTTACCATAAAATTTACCATTTTAGCCACTCTTGAGTATTTTAAATACGTTCACACTGTTGTGCAGCCATCATCACTGTCCATCTACAGACCTTTCTCATCATCCAAAACGGAAACTTTACTCCATAGACATCGCCCTCATGATCCCCATAGCAATGTACAGAAGTGGAATTACCATCTGCTGGGATGTGCATGTCCTCGGCTTTAAGGTATCGCCAAACTGAACTTTAGAGAGGTTGCCCAGTTATTATATTTCCTAAAACTTCATAAATCTTTTAAATAAAGTAGCTTGTATACTGTATATAATATATTTATTATAAGCATTTTACTGTATAAATATCTTACTTTGCTTCTTTTAGGTTTTGATATAACTGCAGGGGTTAATGAAGAAACAGGATTTGTCTATGGAGGAAATCGCTTCAATTGTGGAACATGGATGGACAAGATGGGAGAAAGTGACAGAGCCAGAAACAAAGGCATCCCAGCCACGCCAAGGTCATGTTTGTTTTGCAGTGCTTGTGTAGTTACACCCTTTTTAAGATGCTCATACTTGTGGAATCTTTCTGTCATCTCTGAGTTCTTCATATTAAGTCCTTCAGAAACCCCTGCCTCCTTCCCTCTCACTTTGTCTACAATGAGGATTTTTAAATGGATAGTTGTTCTTATGAGATATTAGTTAGTGATTCATCAAAACTATCAGCTGACTAGACCTGGTGGCTCACACCTGTAAACCCAGCACTTTGGGAAGCCAAGACTAGAGGATTGCTTGAGCCCAGGAATTCAAGACCAGCCTGGGTAACATAGCGAGACCCCATTTCTCCAAAAAATTGGCATGGCGGCATGCACCTGTAGTCCCAGCTACTCAGGCGACTGAGGCAGAAGGATCTCCTGAGTCCAGGAGGTCAAGGCTGTGGTGAGCCATGATTGTACCACTGCACTCCAGCCTGGACAACTTAGTGAAACCTCAACTCAAAAAAACAAACCAAAAACCTGTCTGCTAAATGCTTTTTAAGTGGTGCCTAAGTGATTGCACCTTAGAGAATGAGATGTGTTTCCTAATTTTAGAGACGGATCTGCCGTGGAAATCGTGGGCCTAAGTAAATCTGCGGTTCGTTGGTTGTTGGAATTATCCCAAAAAAAGATTTTCCCTTATCATGAAGTAGCAGTAAAAAGACATGGTAAGCCATTCACTATTTTTACAAAGAAACTTTGAATGCACTGTCTCTATTCTTAACCTTGTGTAATCACCATCTGATTCAGTCAACTGTTATTAGAAATCCCTTACCATTAAGTGGAAAGGCAGTCAACCTAAGTGCCCATCAACTGATCAGTGGATAATGAGAATGTGGTATATGTACACCATGGAATACTATGCAACCATAAAAAGGAATAAAATTGTGTTCTTTGCAGCAACATGGTTGGAGCTAGAGATGATCATCCTAAGTAAACTGACTCAGAGACAAAAAAACCAAACACTGCATGTTCTTACTCACATGTGAAAGCTAAATGGTCACAAAGGTGGAAATAATAGACCCTGGGAACACTAATAAAGGGGGAGGAGGGAAGAGGCTGGGGTTCAGAAACTACCTATGGGGCACAGTGTTCACTATCTGGGGATGGACCGGACCACCTGAAACCCAATCTCTACCACTGGACAATATGTTCATGTAGCAATTATGTATGTGTACCCCCTGAATCTAAAATTTTAAAAAATAGAATTGTGAAGGAAAAAAAAGTAATGAGAATTCAGTAGGAACAAAAAGAAATGAAAGCCAGTAATTTACTAGTATGGAAAGTGTAACAATTCTGGTTACTAACCATATTTTTATTTTGTTTTATTTTATTTTATTTTATTTTATTTGCCAGAGTCTCACTCTGGCACCCAGACTAGAGTACAGTGGCATACTCACAGCCACCACGGCCTTGACCTGCTGGACTCGGGCAGTCCTTCCACCTCAGCTTCCCTAGTAGGTGGAACTACAGGCATGTGCCACCACACCTTCCTAATTTTTTGATTTATTGTAGAGATGAGGTCTTGCCAAGTTGCCCAGGCTAGTCTCAAACCCCTGGGCTCAGGCAATCCTCTCACCTCGGCCTCCCAAAGTGCTGGATGACAGGTGTGAGCCAGCACACCTAGCCTACTATCCATATTTTTATAGCAACTCCAACCTGAAGTCAGAAAAGCAGCATAGCTGTCATCTATTTGTGTTTGTCTTTTCCTCAGCATGACTGAGCATTTCTGTGAGCTGTTCTGAATCCTGACATCTCTTTTTCTAGAACAGTGCTATCTAGTGTAACTGTGATATGAGCCAACATAGACATAATTTTAAATTTTCTAGGGCTCACATTTTTAAAAGTAAAAAGAAACAGGTGAAATTATAAGATGTTTTATTTAACTCAATGCATGCATGTACAATATTTTAACATGTGATCAATATAAGATTGTTCGTAAGCCGTGCTCGGTGGCTCAGCCTGTAATCCTGCTCCTTTGGGAGGCTGAGGTGAGTGGATTGCCTGAGCCCACGGGTTTGAGACCCGCCTGGGCAAATGGCATAGACCTCATCTCTACAATAAACCAAAAACTAGCCGGGCGTGGTAGTGCATGCCTGTAGTTCCAGCTACTTGAAAGGATCACCGGAGCCCAGTGGGTCGAGACTGCAGTGGCCGGGAGCGGCAACTGCATTCCAGTCTGGGCGACAGAGTGAAACTCCGACTCAAAAAAAAAAAAATACTGTTCATGAGCTATTTTTCATTCTTCTTGGTGGTACTACATCTTGGAAATCCAGCATATATTTGATATTCATAGCACATCTCAATTCAGACTAGCCACTGTTAAAAGTGAATAACTTACTGTCTTCTAGTAGGTAAAAAGAAGTAAAGAAGTAAACTGAATCCTACTCTTTGGCTGTGACTAGATGCGTGGCTTGTCTGAATGTTTAAAACTGCCATGTCTTACATAATTTTTCAGGAAAGATTGTAAAAGTCTCATATGATGAGTGGAACAGAAAAATTCAAGACAACTTTGAGAAGCTTTTTTATGTTTCTGAAGACCCCTCCGATGTCAGTGAAAAGCACCCGGATCTCGTCCACAAGCGCGGCATCTACAAAGACAGCTATGGGGCCTCAAGCCCCTGGTGTGACTACCAGCTCAGGCCCAACTTCACAATTGCCATGGTGGTGGTGCGTGATGTGTTATTTTCAAATTTCAGAAAATATCATGGTGTGGACGGCTCCTTGTTGCTGTTCTGGCCACTGTCTCTCTTGCAATGTAAACCTGTTTTTCTACTCTAATCCGAAAAAAAAAGAAAAAATATTGTGATAGGATTTACTTAGTTATTCCCATTTGTTTTCTAATTCACTTAATTTCTAAAAAAGTAGTATATTACTTACTAGTTTTATATGTTCTATTCTCTTCTAATTAATAAAAAATATAAGGTGATATTATACATATTACCGTTAACCTATAACAATCAGTATTAAAAAAAAGAAAATTAGCCAGACATGGTGGCTCACACCTATAATCCCAGCACTTTGGAAGGCTGAGGCAAGAGGATTGCCTGAACCCAGGAGTTCAAGACCAACCTGGGCAACAAAGCAAGACCTCGTCTCTACAATCAAAGACTTAGCCAGGCATGGTGGCGTGCCCTTGTATTCCCAGCTACTCAGGAGGCTAAAGCAGGAGAATCTCTTGAGCCCAGGAGATTGAGGCTACAGTGAGCTGGGATCATGCTACTGTGCTCCAGCCCGGGCAGCAGAGTGAGACCCCAACTCAAATATAGAACAGAATGACTAAGAAAGTGCTTCCCAATATTTTTTCATGTCACAGCTCACATGGATAATGGTATTTGCACAGCATGCTAGGCTGAGTGGACTAGGCTGCTTATACAGGGCACAGTGCCTCAGTGAACCAGGCCCACCCAGCAGCCCTAAAAGTGGAGGGTGCCTGTGATCCACACACCAGCGCCTCTGCATGCTGGTTGGAAAGCTCTGCACTAGCAAGTGAGGGTGGGCAGCTTGACTCCACCGTCTGTGTTCTCTTTGTGTTGCTGTAGTCAATTCTATCTGGGCCAGGAATTCTAGACTCTCCTTATCTCTACTTTAGTCTAAACACGAACTACAAGGACAGTAAAGTCGAATGTGCATGTGCTTCCACCTCCTAACTGGTCCGCATTGCCCGACAGCACCACACACAGCACTGTGGAGTCAGTCAGTAGTGTAAGGAGCGCAGAGGCACGGGGGACTTCGGTTGGGTGTATGCTTGACTTCATGCATCCGTGACAGTTCATGCGATTCATGGTCAGCGCTCCCTCCTCCTCCGTGTAATGTGCAAATGCACTCGTGCTGTGGGAGCACAAGTTCTTCTATCCTTTATTATGACCCCAGAAGCAGATGTGCTCAAGGAAGCTGTTGCCGATCTCCTGGAGAATGAATTCCACAGATTTAAGTGTGCTCTGCCTCCAGTGTAGCTGTGGCAGCTTCGGAGCTGGATTGCTTTCTTGAAGTGACCCAGGGAAATAGTCACCTCTCAGAGCTTCCTGACCTCCGTGGCCAAGGGCAGCCCTGCCCTTTCAAGATAGATTAGGTCAGGCATCTGTGCTCCAATTCCAACCCGCACTGTTTTTAAGTATTCTTGGCCGGGCTCGGTGGCTCAGCCTGTAATCCGGCGCTTTGGCTGGCCAAGGTGAGTGAATTGCCTGAACCCGCAGGTTCGAGACCCGCCTGGGCAATTTGGTGAGACCTCATCTCTACAATAAATCAAAAAAATTAGCCGGGCGTGGTAGCGCGCGCCTGTAGTTCTGGCTACTTGGAAGGCTGAGGCCGAAGGATTGCTGGAGCCCAGCAAGTAGAAGCTGCAGTGGCCGAGAGTGGCCATTGCACTCCAGTCTGGGTGACAGAGTGAGACTCC